CCCGCCTGCTTCAAGCTGATGCCCAGGCACTATGCATTCAGTTCCTGCGAGTCTGCACGTACCTTCCTTCGGAACGCCACAGGCGTGGGTCAAGCGTCGTGACCGCAGCTGCCTCCCTCAGTTTTTCTTTGAGTGTAGTTTGGCAAGGGCACTGTGCAACCGCATGTTCTTGAGACCACCCGCTATGTAGTTGGGGGCCTTCAAAGCTACGCCCCCGCAACAAGAACGCAACCAACAAGCCCCAGTCATACTCGGACTGTTTGGGATTACTACGTGCCTATGGCAACACTATGTTGAGCTGTCTTATGGAATTTGCCGGTGATATTTCGCTTGTGCAGGCCAGCGTGAAATTGAAGCAAGGCTGGCAGCCTGAGTTCCAGGCCGTCCTATAACTTGCGAAACATTTGCAGCCCGCATTGAATTCGAGGGGTTCGCGAGTCGATCCGATTTTCCGCTGGTATGCAACTGTAAGAATGCAGCCAACCAGGTGCTGGAATAGTGTCATGGCGTTGATCCCAATTTGCAATTGTGGAGTGCCTGTTTGGTCAAAAGGCTGTGATGTGCTTGGTGAAGGCACTTCGTGGTGACCTTCCCTTTGTGAAGGGATCAAGTTTGACCACGCAAAGCTGGCGACTGTGTGTGTGTGTGCGTGTGTCATGTGAGTGGTTTTCCCTTACACATCTTGCACTGGGAGGCCCTTCATGCCCATACTTCTGGCAAACTTTGGGTGACCTCCAGCTGATCAAGTGACCATACGGTAACCGTCATTGATGAATCTAAAGCAGGCGGGCCCAGCGGCTTCGCATGTTTTGTTTTCAGGCCGCCTGCGGCAGGGAGGGCTCTTACTCATCACCACAGCACCTTGGATGCTTCAAGGTGTGACTCTGCCAGTGGTTTCCCTTTGCCCCAAAAAGGGTTCCTTGAAGAAAAGGACCCACCAGTAGGGAGGTTGCTTGGCTGCCTTGGCTTGTTTCCCTTCCTGCTAGTGAGCCTTGGTCAATTTGCTTCACTGCCGTTGTGGGCTTTGTCGAGTTGAGCAGTGTGTGATGTTGATCAGTTTTCTTTGTTCCGACTTGTGCTGTTGGCATGCATTGCGGACCCCGGAGGCCATTCTGCATCCAAGCAGCCCGTCGCTCGCAGCCATGCCCCAGGTTGACTCCTGTGCCATGGGCCGGCTGGCACGTGACGCAAAGGCGCAGCCGGGAGTTGGATGGATGAGCTTCTCACAGGTTTTCCCCGCGCCAGCGCAAGCCGAAGGAAGGAGTCGATTGGTTTTGTGTTGTGTGAGTGTTGGATACATGTGGACATTCTTTGGTTGCGATTATCCAGTTTCTTGGGTTTCAATCCAGCTCTTTTGGAGCACCCCTGTTCAAAGGGCGTACCATTCCAAGTGGTGGTGATTGTGTGTCAACCATCAACGTAGGATGAAGAGCCAGCACGACAGATGTGCCATATCAAAAACTGACATGTTTGCACACAGGCGCGGGCCCCCAGAGTCAACATGTTTGCAGAATCAGCAGGCCTTCACGTGAAGCTGCCACAGCAACTTGATGTCATCGGTGTTTCTTCATAAAACGAAGATGGCTTGTTTAAAGTCCATTATACGTCCGTGTGGTTCTCCTTGCTGCCCTCGTTGTGGTGGTGTCCCTCTAGGGATTCTGGATTCTGGATGCCCCGTTTCGATTCACCCAGTGAACTCTTTCGGAGGGAACGTGAAAGCTGCTCGAGCAGCTTTTCATCATTTAAATCGAGCCAAGCAACCGACCGACCGACCAGCAGTGCGTTTTGTTCTTCTTCTTTTTTTTGGGAGGGGGGAAGAATTGGACGCCCACCAGATACGTGGCTTCTGCGCCCTGAATTCATCCTTCCAGATGTTGAACAAAACTCGATTGGCTACATGCGTTGTCAGCTTATGGTGAAGTTCAAAATTTACGTGAGGAAATACCCCAGGTGAACGGAGTTTCTTATATGTTTCATTAAAACATCACCCCGGTACCAAGGGAAACTTGTCTTAAAATAGGCCACAAAGGTGATGTTTAAAGCACCAAAACGGGAAGAAAGGGACCCCTAGCGAATCCGGGGTCAACAGCCGCGTGCCGTCACAGTTTTCAGCGAAAGCGGGTGTTTGGAGGATTCCCCAGGGGACCAAAGTAGGCAAACCTTCAGGTTTGAGGTCCCCCATGTTTCGGCACATGCCTACATGAGCCGATATGGGTTTCTTGCGGCTGCCCTGGTTGCCAATCACAACTAAGAGTTGCTCAAGGCAAGCCCGTGGTTTCTAACTGCGGGCGACCTCATTGGAATGTGAGTGAGGGTGTTGGAGCTTCTTGTATTTTTTTGCTTACGTGCAGTTGTGAATGGATTGCTGGATTGCATTTCCCCCCCCAAGTAAACGAATACAAGGATTTTCCTGCTCTTGCTCAAGGGTGCACGGGGGCTTGCAGGGCGGCGCCCTTTTGGTCAGGACCTCGTTTGGCAGAATGGCCTGCTGCGGGTCACCTTCAGCGATTTGCAGACGTTGGAGAGGCAGGGCTTAGGGACAAGGCGGCCAGTTGAAGTTGCAACACTCTTTGGTGACTGAGTGCACAAGCCCGCAGCGTCGCCTTTGATGAGTTCACTCTTTCCACAAGCCGTCGGCAGTACCGGCTGTTTCATCCGTTTCCCACCATGCATGCCTCCAGTTGATTGAGGCGGTTTCGATTTTTGCGGGTGTTGTCTGCAAAAGTACTGCTGGTTACGGCGATCTCTCGCGCAGGTGCCTAAGCCTTCCCATATCCGCAGTTCATTGCAGCTAGCTTCTCAGTTCATAACGTAGACGTGACATGATACCGGGCAGAGTCCGATGAGCAAACAATCAGGCTCAGCGTTGTACACACATTTGGCTATGCAAGGCCTGTTGCAAAGATCTTCGCATATGTACATATATTCACATATATATAGATATATACATATATATATATATCCATGGCACAGGTCACAGTTCTGTCAAATCAAGCGAAATCAGGGATGCAAGTGATCCCATGTAGAACAAGCCAATGGCTTTGACACTGGTTGAACGAACCTGAGCGGCCCACAAGCGAGAAGTGGGATTTGTGGTGGGGGGTGCCCCCTGTCTTTGGAATGCGGTCCTAGGCTTGTCGTGTTTCAATGACGTACCCAGCGCTGCCTTCAGCAATCTTAAGCACACATGTTGCTAGCGATGGTTAGCATTTTGCTATTAATATTTCTGCCATCTGGGCTGTTCAAAGTCAAGCCTTCCCTTCATTTGCTAGAAGAGTCTCTTTGTAGTGGCTTCTTTGTAGGGACCAAGGGAAAGGGTAGGCCGGCCCTTCATTTTGAATAGCTCAGACAATTAAATGGAGGAAACACCCCATTGTCTGTTACTGCAGGCGCTTGAAGCACCCACTTGCCCGAGGGACAGCACGGCCACCTCAAGGCAGAGGAAGCGAAATACTCGGGCGGCCCCTGTGGAGCCCAACAGGCAGCTTTAGAAAGGCGATCCCACCCAATGCGCGGTTTCCCTTTGAACTCCGTTTAAAAGCCCACGAGGTAACCCAACAGAAAGGCAACAGACCCCCCCCACATGAAGTGAGTAAAGCAGAGCGTCCAGCGACCCAACAGCTAGGATTGCCGATGAGAAGGAAGAGCTGGCGGCCTAGCGCGGGAGAATCCGCGTGTCCGCTTTTGGTTTGGAAAGCGTTCCTTTTTTCCTCCCCAAACAAAGTCCACTGGGCATTTGAGATATGCTGACACCAACACACTAGCACACACAGACACATTGATGTACTGGGCGTCTGGGCCCGGTGGAAAAGTTGGGAGTCCAGGACCAAACGGGGGGGTGGACCCCCAAAGCGATGCTACCGATATGGCAAGCTCGCCTGGCGAGAAACGAGCTCGCGATGTAGGTCTCTGTCTCAGGGGATCCCATATTTCAGGTGTTGGATTCATTGAATTTGGTCATGGTGTTCCTAAAAACCACGCCGGAAAATGGCACCCTCCAGAAATAACGCAAGTTAATTTTGATTGTAGCCCAAAGAAACAGAACTGGACCTTAAAAGCACGACGTGGCAGAGCCTTCCTTGTGTCCTACGAGACGATGTCCATGCATCTGAGTACCGCTCACACGTGTTGATCGCAGATGTCCTGCACAGTATGGTACGCAGCCATAAGAGAGCTTGCATACCACTCTAGTTAAGCCTCCCGAATTCTTCTACTCTCCACTGTCTTCCTGGCTTGTCCGTGTCGGCTTGTGGGCAAGGCACGGGAAGATGTTCTCATTGTTCCCAGGATCTTCCTCGCATGTCACATGTCAGGCGCCTTGGCACTCAGCGACTGGATCGCGTGCTTTCTTGTTTCCAAGCACTCTGATCAACTACGACGGTCATGCTCTGGGGCGAAGCAGCCGGCTGAGAACGGCTGGACAAGGTTCAGAACTGATTTGCCATGTCCACAGTTGTTCCCCAGTTGCCCAGTGGTGCCCTTGTTGCCTTCTTTTTTGGGGGAAGGGTTCCCCTTGAAAGTCAACCAACCAAAAAAGTCGGACGCCGATCCCTTTTTTCCCCAAGGCCACTGGGCATCTGAGCTTCGAAGGAAAAGTGCAGGGACACCCCTCGTTTTGGATCCCAGGTATGGCCTGCGGTACCGCTTTGACCTCACAGGCGGCCAGTAGAAAAAGTTGCAGCGCCGTTCCTGTGGGAGCGGGGTATTTGTGTTTCCCGTGGTTTTGCAGGGGTTCCCTAATTAGATGGGGAGTTTCTCAAAGTGGTGGACCAACAGGAAACCAAGGTGCCACTATTGTAAGAAACCCAGCATTATTCATTTGTATGTTGTTCTGTGTGGTTTTGAAGGTCACGTTTTGGGCCAATTGAACGTGGATTTCATGTTGATAATGCAAGGTTTGTTGCAAAGCTACCCCGGCCCGGCACAGTAATTACAGGTAGCTTTGCTGACTTCGACAAAGCACGCCTGAGAATCACCCGCTCGTGACAAACAGCTGGTTCGGGGTCTGGTGGTTTAGTGATTTGGTGGCGTTCGAAGCGTCATTCAGCCGGCGAACTGGCTGCAACACTTGCTGGCTTCTTTCAGGTCAAAGCATGGCAGAGGTTCTTTTCTTCTACTGCACAATCATCCCTCGATTCCCTAGTTGCCCAAATCTTACCCCCGAAACTGTCCAGCCGCCGTGGCTAAGGATTGAATTGGAACGACCCCAAATAAGGGGGCCTAACAGACCTCAGTTTGTCAACTGGGCTTCCCCAGTTACACATCACCCCACTTGAAGGAAAGTCCCTTAAAGCTGGAAACGAAAACTCCTGCCCCCAAGTGATAATATGGTTGATTGTTTGGTCCATATTTGGCAACCTTAAAAACGCAAGATAATGTCAACAGTGGTCCTAGAGAAGGAACATGCCTCTCAGAACCCTTTGGTCGCCACCGGGTCTCCTGGCAGGTGTTTCTGTGGCCGTGAAATTCGGCAGATCATCAGACGGTGGGTCAGGAACAAGTGTGTCTAGAACGCATGTAATTCAGCTGCCGAATTCAGCTAGCTTCGCGCTTTCGCACGACACCTCCGGTTGGCCTTATGTAAGAACGAACCGGCCGCCTTGTTGTTGTCCAACCGCTGAACAAGGCCGCATGTTTTCTCTTCTGGGTGCCGGGGCTCGCTAGGGAGGGAGGTGGGGGGGTCGCGAATGATATGTGTCACCGTGAGAGTGGCAAGTTGATTTAGATAGACAACGCACTGCTGACGCCCAACATCAAGCACAAGAAGAGGTGCATTTGCTTGTTCGCTGAGGATTAGACCGATTTCATTGCCCGACTCCCCAAGCCCTCCTAAACATCTCCCAAGCTGTGTAGGGGCATCTATGCATGATTCAAAAGATGCCCCAAAAGTTTCAAAGTTTGTTCTAAAGGGATTGGAGCTTGAAGCGACCCCAACCTGCGCACTTTGTACTAAAGCAGGGCAGCAGGAAGAGCGAAATCCAAAGGGGTTGGAGGAGACAGTCAGGTTCAACCAATCTCTCACACTGTTTGGTACCATGTTCCAACCGCAACGCCACTACAACCTGGTGTCCCATCCGGGATTCTGACATTGGTGGCCCTCCCCCCCCATGGCTGAGAGGTGAAGGCATCGACTGTGAGGAGTTTGTGGTGCCGGAGGCAGGAAGGATACGGGCCCCAGCAATCCTAGACCTCCGCTGCGTTGTGCTCCTGTTTTTGCTGGGGGTCCTCGTTCCACCAAACAAGGTGGGGACACCGGAGGGCAGGGCATTGGTTGACAGACGTAAACCCCCCAAAATATGGAGTCCCAATGGAAAGGCATAGCAGTTGTTCAATGCGAATTGCCTGGACTTTTAGCATGTTGGTTTCCTTTGTTTTGGCAAGCAGGCGGGCTTGTGGTACGGAAGGGTTGGCTATTTGCTTCCAGAAGTATGTCAATCTGTCAAACTTAGATCTTAGTACCTCTTGCGCAGAGTGCCAAGCCTTGGCCCACGAAGGGGTTGCCAGTTGGTGGACTGTGGCCGGCATCAGTTTTCCAGACACCCTGGATTTGGGCTTTGAGGGGTCCCGGACCACCACAATTTTGTCCCAAGCTGCCAGGCTTGGTTTCCCCTATGAAAGTTAGGGGGTCCCAGCCATGCAGATCGCCTCCCTTTTGGTCACCCAGTCTGGCGGAATACCGCTGGCCTCACCCGGGCCTCGCGGCCAGGCGCTGATGAGAGGTCTGCTCCAGGAGCTGCAAGTGGAGGTGTTGGTGCTGAGCTCAAGTGGGTATGGCTCAAAAAACCGGAATTCCAATATGGGTTGCCCTGGTAAGTGGAGACATGGAGCCAAATCTGCGTAACAGTAGCAAGCCGGCGGTACGATTTGGTCTTCGAAGACTTGAGAAACCGATGTGGGCAACTTTTGCCTTATGAGCAAGCAGGCCAAACAGGTTGACGTGTTGCGGATGGGGCCCGTCAGGCATTTGCATCCACAGTGAGGAGCTAACGCTCAGCTCGTGACGCCTTGCAAGTCGTGAAAATCATTATCACTCTGCAATCCCCCGCTCCAGTCAGATGTTCGCGTACACCATTGATGCAGGCACCAAGCGAGCACGCATGCAGACTTTCCAGCGTGTTTGGCAAGGTTGGCGTCTTGGTTTGGCTCTTCGTTGCATTGAATTGAACACCAAGCCATCTTTTTGGACCACTAATTCAGTTTCAGCTGTCCCAAAAAGACAACATTATATTCTTCCAGCAGCAGCCACCTTTTCGGGTCCATGTGGCACTAGACGTTGTTCGAGGGTTCATCAGATCAAGGATGCCTTTGTTTGCCTTTGTGAACTTCCTGTGGTTTGCTGTGACCTGTTAGCTGAAAGGCCTTTCGTTTCGTTATAAGGCCGCCATGCCCTTCTCAGACATCGCCCTGGAGGCAGGAGGGTAGAGGCTTGTGCACGGCGGCAAGGTCGTCTTTGCGAAAGCTAGGGTTCGGCCAATTGAATGGTGTTGCCCTGGGATGGGTTGGTGGGTGGCACAATTTGCCTATTAGCACAATTCCTTCTAGCTCACGTTGCAAGGTATTGCCCAGCCTTCGTTGACCTAGGGTATTGGCCGCCTATGATCTTTCCAGGTTCGGCACCGACCTGGGTACGACTTTACCAAATATTTTGAGAGGCATTGCGGCATTCCTCACACTGCCCACTGGCTCGGGAAAACGACAGGTGCTATCAGTTCTACTGCCACAAAGCCACTTGTACCGCTTTACGCCTGTCCTTGTTGTGCTTGGAGTATTTTTGCCCCCCTGATCAGGACAATCTGACGGCTGAGCAGATCGCTACCTCGATTCTATCGAGGCAAGTTGAGGTGACGGTGCAGTTGGCGTTCTGAGACCCCCTGCCAACGTGACAAGTTGAGGTAAGGGACGTACAACGCCTTAGCAACTTCGGCAAACCCTTTAGGTACGTTCTAGAATCGATCCACTGGTTTCGCGAGTCGGAGTGACCACTTCCTTCTGAGAAGCCAGGATGAATTAGCCTTTGGTTGAGCGTCCCATGTCAGAGGGCATTTGAATCGTTGCTGGGGGAGTTGCATGTATAATGCGATAGCAGTTTCTGATCCATGGAGTGCGAGCTTGTGTGTGTGTGTGTGTTTTTTCGGCTTCGCTCCTGGTACTAGCGGCATGGTGTTCCTGTGACAAATTTCTTCTTCAGGGCTTTTAGACTCGTTTCATGCCGCCTGCTCCTTCATTGCCAGAATGGTCATGTCAGCTACGAGGTTTGCAGGCCGTTGAGAGCAACACTGTGTCAACAGACCGCTGCACTGGCATGTGCTGGTCTTCTGCCTGTGCGAATTTTGACAAATTGATGTTGGGGGTAAGATGCGCACCCATGTTGAAAGCCCTTTCTAGTGTGGGAATCCAGCAGCTGCTCCCGTTCCTCAGGCTAGATCAGCTTGCTTACCTCCCCACTTTGCGGTCATATGATGACTTAAGAGCTTGCTCGGCGAGATTGATTCCTAAGCTGCCTCCTTTCCCTTCCTTCCTTTCCACCCGACCGCAATGTTCTTGCAATTCCAACTCCATTTTCTGCAACTTTCTAGCTGTTATTTTTTCTGTTTGATCCCAACTGGAGTCAGTCCATTGGCACCGGCCTGTCTCGAAGCATGCGTTCATCCCAAGGTGGGATCCGAGGACGCGGCAGAACCTACCAGCATGTCCCTACACGGAACGCGGTCCACCAGGACCCTCGCTTGGAGGGAACCAGGGCTGCATCTTGCTGATGCTACCTGGGTGCCTTTTGTTGCATGCCCACGCCTGGGTGAATCCGAGGTAGAGCTGCGACCATTTTGGCTATTGGAGTCTCTAATGGTTGCAATTCGGCATGAGTTTTGTCCTCCTAGAAACATCCACGCCTATCAAGTAGGACAGCTATCCAGCTGCAAAGTCTGGGTTTTGCAACTTCGGTCGCCTTACCCAATCAGATGAAGCCTTTAGTTATACGCCGTAGATCAGCTCTGCCTGCATGCCAGGCTCCCTGCTGGACAGGACCGGGGGATGTGGCAGATGGGGCAGATGTCTTCCATGCCATGCCCAAGGGGCCAAGCGCCAAATGGAAAGGAGCACTGTTGCCTTGCCGCTTCGAGTTGTTGGCCTGAAAAGGCTTCCCAAAGGTATCCTCAAGTTGGTGCAAGATTTGATACATAGTCACCATACACGTTTCAGTAGGCGCTGCGGTTTCCCTTGTCGTGCTGAACGGGTGCGAGCCAGCTGGCAGTATTCTTGCACTTGTTGTTCCGGTCAAGTTATACAATGTCTATGTGGGGATTTATCAAAATTCCCGGCCCCACGTGACAATGGACAACTTTTCCAAGTTAGTGGAATATCGTCTTTGTAGTGAATTTCCCCAATGGCCATCTTGTAAAGAATATTTTGATCAACCTCCATGTGTTTCAGCGAGCATTCCAACACAACGAAGACATCTTCGGGCTGATGAGGTGTTGTCAGCACCACAAGTCACCCCCATTTGGGGAGTGGAAGCAGGTCCTTAGGTCCCTGCACCAGGGTTGGGCCAAACGTGCTTGCCCAAGCAAACCCTGGCTTCCCAGAAAGGGAACTAAGAAGAGGCTGCTTACACAGCAATGGCTTAAACATGTTTTCGCAGTTGCTTGGCCAAACCCAGCCTTGCACACGTCTCTCCTGGATTCGGCACAATGCGCACAGCGCATTCGTCAGGCATCCGACGTCAGCGTCTACGACCGGCTCGGGCTGCTCTTGAGCAGGCGGGGAACAGGTCGTTCTTCCGGAGGAAGCCCCCAGGTCGGGGCCAACAAATCCAGTCTGATGTTGTGCGCTGGAGAGTGCCCTAGCTACTTTGGGCCGGCTGGGTCAACACGTGCACCCGAGAGATTAACATGTGCCAAAACGATGCGGTGTTAGAACTCGCAGAGGCCACCCTGGGTTGCCTAGCGAGCTCTATTTTCTGAAAGAAAGTCACCGAACACAGGGAAAGCATTCCATGAGGACGCGCCGTCGCTTGCTTAGGTCTTCAAGGTTCCTTCTTGTTCCGGCTGGCTCGCGATTCGTGAAAAGATAGCCGGATAGCACGGAACCTGTGTGGAATCAGGAATGTCTCAGTCCTAACCTCCACACCAAACCCCACACCAACAATTAGGTCTAAGCTTATCGCGCCAGTCAAGCAACGACCGGGCTGATTGAAACAACCGGGTTGTTTTTTAATGTAAGCAGGGGTTGGCTTTCCATCTCCCTCTCAATTTGCTTCAGTCCATCCCCCAGCACCCAATACTCACTGGCAGGGAGGAGGCAGCCATCGCAGCATTGTACAAGCGCGAGCCTTGGAGTTCGGGCTGCCTTCGAAAAGAGTAGTGGACAACCAGGGCGGCATGGCTTGTGTGGACCCCTGCCGGGTTGTTGTGGCGCAGACTCTTGAGCTCATATTGGCTGGTCCTCCCAATCATGAGGCCCCGCTGGTAGTTCTGGAGGAAAACTGCTACAGGTTCCGCGGCCTGGGTCTTGCCAAAAAGAAACATAGCTTCGGGATGGGCATCTCCGATGGCCTATTCAACACGGATTCCAATCGACAGGCTCTGTGTCAGAGGCAACTGTGCGGTTTTCTGCATTGACCTGGAACTTGCGGTAGGGGAGGTTAGCGCCAGGACGGTTGTCCTCAAGAAAAGTGCAACAAGCAACACGCTTCTCCTGCGAGCTTTGGCCTGCCTTTTCTCGCTGCTTGGCCAAACATGTTGCTTCTGAGTGCTTGAGTTGATATGCCACACGGTCTGGATGTGCGGAGACTGGCCCCCACTTGCGACAGCGGAGAACAACTCTACGCAACCTGTTGTAGCGCGGCACCTACAAGCTCGCGCAACGGATGCTGTGAGCAGGTCGCCGGCTCAAGCTGTTAGGGCCGTCCGGGCTATGGCTCATGGGCTGCTGCTTCTTTTGCTGCACGCGGTGGCAGGTCAGGAGTACCAAGTCACAGAACGTCGCTGGGATGCAAAGGCCACAATGAAAACCTGGGTAATTGGAGGGTAGCAGGGAGCAGTCCCAACCACTTTTTAGTTATTCATTTTGTTTGATGTGACTCAGAAGGGCTTATCTTCCGAAGGTCCTCTTCGGGCCGGGGCCACGTGATTTTGCGTCTAGCTGCAAGGGGCTACTTGAGATGTTGCTTGTTGTTTGTTGGGGCCACGTTGGTGTTCACGTGTGCAGTCATACTCCAAAAAGTCAGCCATTTAGAATTTAGACTCTCACATATTCAGGCTTGACACCTTGCCATATTTCTAGCGGGAAGTAAGTAACGCGCTTGACGCCTTAGCTGTGAAGGCTTTAGCATATCAAAGCGACAAACAGGACCTGCGGCCTCGCCAACGGACCTCATGCTTGCTAGGTTGCTATCTCCCCCGCAGAAGTCGAGGTATCAGCAATCCAGGGTAGTGAAGAGTTGTCTTTTTCTGATCGCGTTCATCCATTCCTAGACGTTCCCTTTGTTCATCCGGCCCCTCCCAGGTCGGGTGCTCTACGAGGGGGCTCCCGTGATCCCAGGCACGTATGACAATGTCACGGCCTGGCAGTGCCAGGCCGGCCTGTGTTGACCCAGGCGACTCGCCCGTTGGCCTCCACCCAGTCCTCTAAAAAACCTAAACATGGCAGCCCAAAAGCGGTAACTTTCAGTGTTTGGGAACCACTGCAAATCAGGTCACTTTCGGAGCACTGGGACTTATCTGGCGCGAAAGAACGCAGTGGCACTCTGTGATAAATATACTCCGGTGTTCTGGGAGCGCTGTCGACAATCCTTCATTCCCCTGAACCTCTCTGTGAGGTCTAGCTTGGGAGGTTTCTACGGGAACACCTTCAAATTGTCGGGCGGCAAGTCCGCTCTGCAAAGCCGGCCACCCAATCAAAGCAAGTGATCGTTGCCTTGGCGATCTGAGGCATCTCAGCTTTCCCACCTTGCTCAAACCACGAAAAAGAAACCCCACTTTGGATGCACTTACCTCAACCGATTGGGAATGGACAAGCCTGGAAGGCCTTTTGCAACGCCAATGCCAACTGCAGCTCCTTCTCCTTCTGTGGCAGCTCCTGCTACTTGAAGCAGGCGAGGGTGGTTCGATCGTAGCCTATCTCGCATTTGTTGTTTTTGTTTATGTGTTCCATTTGATTGAGGCCTTTCGCCAGGCGAAGGGGACCTTTTGTACGGCCATGTTCTTCTTTTACCGGGACTTTTTGTGAGAGCGTGTTTTCCTCAAACGTAGACACCGATTGCTCAAGTTAGACGCTTGCAATTCGGGTTCGCTGCCACAAGCCTTCCGCAAAACTGGAAGGCAATTTGAACCAGGGTTGTGGGACCAAGGGGTTTTTCCCCACTTCTGTGATACAAGGGAATCTCCCCCTGTATATGGGGGATTAGCCTTTGGGACGCCTTTTTTGTTGTATCACAGAAGTGGTCATTTCCCACAGCCCTGATTTGAACCATTTCCCCAGTGCATTTCCCTTGGGTTTCTCGTCGGTTCCATGTGGCGAGAGCAGCCGAAAGCTTTGGCCGGCGCCAGGCCTGCTTGGCCGGCGGGGAAGCCTTAGCGCGGTGCCAAGAAGGAAACTAAAGGATTTGTGTGTGCTTTTGTTTTTGTTTAACAAAAGTGTTTTCTTGGGGGAAATGATCTTGTCTAAAGCGATCGGATTCGGATCACCCCTTCGAATCTCCAATTATGGTTCCATTGGCGCTGTAAGGAAGGCTGGGAAATGGAGTTGGGCGACCACCCCGCCTCCACCTTGGTGTAGGGGGGGTGATTTGAAGGGAAACGGAGGGCAAAGCCATCATTTTGAAAGTCTCCTTGCAGCTCAAATCCTAAAACCGGACTCTGAGGTCAACGCGAGCACCTACACGGGGAACTGTGTGACGCACTACAAGCAGTGCAGCTCATTGGAGGGATACCTAGTGGCTCTGAAGTCCAGTAGCGCCCCTTTTCTTTTTTGTCTGAAAATTTCCCTTTAAAATCGCCCAGCGAGCCCCAAAGAAACAGACACACAAGAGGATGTCGCTTTCCGGGGGTGGGGTGGGGTGGGGTGGGGTGGGGTGGGGTGGGGTGGGGTGGGGTGGGGTGGGGTGGGGTGGGGTGGGGTGGGGTGGGGTGGGGTGGGGTGGGGTGGGGTGGGGTGGGGTGGGGTGGGGTGGGGTGGGGTGTGGGGTGGGGTGGGGTGGGGTGAGGTGGGTGGTTGGCTGGTCCGGGTTGATTCTAGAAGAACCCTTTTCCCGTGTTACGCTCAAGGTAAAGGAGCGGCTCCTGCTGCAGCAGGCCGGTCAAGTTCGGCATGGCATGGCCGTGGTTTTGGGGGCGCTGCTTTCTGTTGCATGCAGAACCCTGGAGGGGTTATTGGGGATGGCCTGCGTGTAAAAGGGATTGTCCAGGGGCAAGGTTGGAAGCTGGCTGCGCTTTTGCAGGGACTGCCGGAAAACAACCAAACATCCAAGGGGAATCGGCCTTTGTGGAGAACAACACTCGTAAATAATGGGCAAGAATCAACGCGCTAGAATACTTCACTCAGCTGCGTCGTAATCAAACCCGGCAGGAGCCTGCTCCAAGCCCAAGGTAAAGAATAAACAAGGCGGACAGGTGGTTGTCGAAGCTGACTGCAGTTCTACTGAAGAGGTCAAGAAAAGCAAGGGCCAAAGAGACAAAATCATGTTTCGCTGTTGCCCCCGAGTTTGGTAATGCCGACCCTGGATTAACCCAGCGTTTTTAAATGGGACTGTGTTTGCCCCCCACCTTTCGGGAGGGCTTGGAGATCGAGAACGTGATGACAGACGACCTGGGTGTGTGCGCTGAAGCCTGCAACCAGAATAGCCAGTGCAAGTCCTTCTCCTTCTATGCCAACTCCAAGGGATGCCACCTCAAGGCAAGGGATGAGCACTGGAAGGCTTTTGGTCCGATATGATAATGTTGGTTGGGGTGCAACCCCGGTGCAACCTTAGGGATTCATGTCAAGGCCCCAGGGGTCTGGCAGGCGTGCCTCCGTTTGGTGGCTTGGAGCTGCCTGCTTCCCAACGTTCTCCAACACCCACGCCATTTTGATAATGCCCAAAGCTGAAAATGATGAGAGGAGATGGGACAGGATGGGGATGAAGGACTTTGCAGAGATGGACACTCATTGCCCCAGTGCTTCTGGTTTGCGGAGCCCATGCAATGCAGTCCATCGCTGACTTCGTGCTTCTGGGCATGTTGTCCCCTGTTGCAATTCAGTTCATGGAGCATTGCTCGAACAATAAGGCTCCCTAGCTGACCAACCATAGATCCCCTGAATCAGCACACGGGATGGCAACACGGTTGAACAGCCGCGTGCGACTGCACGGGCCATGAAGGCCAGAATCAGCGATCATGAGCGAGCTGTGTCATGGCACTGCGAGGTGAGAACTTTTGTGAAGCCAGTGTCGGCCAACAGTATTCCAAAGGGCCAGAAATCTTCGGAAGAGATTGCGGCCTGCTTAGGTTCCAAGAACATCTCTTCAGAGCCGGGGGTCTTACAGTTGGGTGACAGTAGATGGCAGAAGTCCTCCATACCCCAAAGAAATCGTGCCGTCTACCGTCACCCAGGTTCCTCCCCAAAATCTGCTCGATGGGCTTGGCCAGTCGAAGTGCGTGGAGCCTGATGATGAGATGGTGCCCGAGGGGGATCCTGCCGCAGCACCTGGGCCGATTGACTTACCCCTGTTGGATGGTTTTGCACAGGGAAACCGAAAGGAAACCAACCATCAGCAGGTTCCCAAATTTAAAAAAAAAAAAAAAAAAAAAAAAAAAAAAAAACGAGGCTCACTTGGCAGCCCCTTGCCAATACGACCACCCTCTTTGGTTCGACCCCTAACCTGTTCTTGGGCCCAAACGGGGCGAACTGGAGGTCGAAAAGCAGCTTTGGGGTATGGAAAAACGCTTGGATCCGAATATCTGGGGCACGCCGCCGAAGAGGCTGAGTGATACCAATAACCAGACAAGGCGCCCGTCAGTCCCTACGTGAAAAAGCCGCACGTGCAACCTCAGCTGGCTGTTTACTTTCCGTGTGCCCGATTCAGAACCAACATCAGCTTGGCACCAAGCAACCGGCACAATCGTCGGGCCCTTTTCACCATCACAGGATTCTTAGGCCAAGGAGTTAGGCTTATCTTTTTCAAGATGTAGATGTTCCAGGGGAATGCTGAGAGAGAAGCCTCAGAGCATACTCTAAGATCCTGGACTTCCCCTTTGACCATGTTCGCAAATTGGTTGAACAATCCTCCTTTGATGCTGGGTTCCCGGAACCCGAGGTGTACCGAACATTTTACCGGTGCTGCTCCTGCACCACGACCACCAGCACCACCACCTTCTCTCCGTGGCGGGTTTTGGATCGGGCTTTGCTGTACGAGGGCGTGCCGGTGGAACCTGGAGTCTTCTCGGACAGGACTTACACAGCCACCCGCCGCGGTTAGCTTGAGGATTCTCCGATTTTGAATGTCGTTTCCCCGCCTTCCTGAGGAAATGACAAGGAGTGTCGAAAGGCAGGCTCGCAATGTGGCATTCAGCCTGTTTTGAATCGCGAGCAGGGATATGTCCCCCCACTCAGCTCCGCGGATCAAACATGTCATGGCGACCTGACCAGTGCGCAAAGCCCTATCGCAAAAGAACATCAAATTATTGGTGGGCTGGTTGCCGGTTTGTCTCAATCTTTGGGCTGCATAGGCTCGCACGGCCAAGCTTTACGTAGAAGTAAAAGGACCTTGGGCTTTGTGGACGGTCATTACCCTGCACAGGTGTTTTGAGCTGGGACATTCACACAACAGTTCACCGAATATTGGTCCATTCCCGCCTCCATGTCTTTTCAGCATTTACAGGAACCAACCAAACTTGAGCTGCACAAGCGCACAAGGATACAAAGGCAGGACGTTGACGGCTCAACTGGCTTTTCTTTGGCCCAGCCTTTGTTCCACTCAGCTTTGCGGCCGGGGGCGGAGGTTGGAGCTTTTGGAAGGCCAACTTTCGAACTTAGGGACGTGAGCTGAGGTTTCTGAGTGCCGGTCCATTTGTGATGGCAACCAGTCGTGCCATTCTTTCTCCTTCTGCGGCTCCGCCTGCTACATGAAGCAGCTTTGTGCCACGGAAGAGCTGGAGTTGGTGCCAGTGGAAAGTTGGAACGGCTGCGCTACGCATTACAAGCCATGCGCCTCGCCAGAATTGGACTTGCTCGTTTGTTGACTCCATGGCTGTGAGCCGAAGGAATTCTCTTTGTGCAGAAACTGGGGATGACCCACTTGGCATCACAGGACTGTTTCCCACAAACAAATACGAAGCTCTGGGCTGCAGACCTTTGCCCGACTGGAATTACCCTGTGCAAAACGTGCCAGTCAATGAATACTCTAAATGGTGGTAACGAGGTTGTTGGTAAAAGTGGTGCAGGTTCCGGGTTCATGTCACGCAAACACCACATAAAGCACCTTCACTTCACAGAGAAATTGCTGATGCACACAGACATGCGGTATGCCGATGGTCTGGAACGGTCCTGGGTTTGCGCCATTCTGTCGCTAGCTGAACTTATGTGTTTGTTTCAAGGATCGCGAATTCCGAGGCCGTGGTAAAGTAAAATTGACATAACTATACACATGGTCGCCACCCGGGCAAAAGCAATCCCATTCCTTGACCGAGGTGGGCTTACCACATCAGCACCCACGATAGACGCAAATTCGTCAGACAGCAGCTTGGCTGCCACAGAAAGGTGAACACACGCTTGGCATGTGCTGCTTCTAAATGCCCTCGTGTAGGGCATGACATCGTTCCGCTGACATTTGCCCAAACCACAATGGAACGTAAAGGCCCAAAACTCCTATAACCATCACGATTTGGTTGAAGTACCCAATTGTATGTTTCTAGGCCCCTTTCGAACCTTCGCGCAGTCGGGCACAAGGGCGTTTGCCCTGCTGCAACAAGTGTGTTTGAAAGTTGTTTTTTGTGCCCAGGCTCCTCCGATGTCAATGCCAGTGATGCCAACACCACAGCCGGCAATGCCACGGACGATGACAACAAAACCGACGCGGAAGCTGAGGGTATCACCACATCTCAATCAAGCAGCACTCACACCGAGAAGCCTGCGCAAATAGAGTCTTGACTGACTGGAGGCTGGGTGCCAGGTGCGAAAATCCGACAGCAGACTTGAATTCTCGATGCCTCTCCAATCGGTCCAACCTTGCGGCCTTGCGGCTCAGGCACGGTGAAAGGACCGCACTCAGTTTCCACCATCTCAGTTGAATGTTGAAAACCAAATCCTTAAGATCTCGTTTGGTGGTTTGGGAGTTAACCCCCTCGTGCTTGAGGGCAGATGGAAGCCTCCAACCCGCAAATCTAATCTACCAACTGGAGGGAAGCTGAAACAAACCCAAAGCCGAAGAAGAGGTTGTTTTGCAGTTCCGCCAACGGTTCCTGCCGTTCGTTTGAGCTTGCACTTCCATGGCCCGCTATGGGGCACTTCAGGGACAGGGAATGTAGACCTCCGGAAAGCTCGGAGGCTGTTCAGCAAGTGCAAGTGATTTGTCATCGAGGTAAGGGATTGCATGGATCATAGGGAGGCTGCCATTGTATGACTCCAGGAGCTGGAAACTGATCCACATTCAAGAGTCATGATTTTAGGCCTCCATGAGTGAGTAACGCCCCTGTACGGCAGGGCCAACGTAGCCATGATGCGCGCGTAGAGTGCGTGCAGTACGCGTACAGTGCGCGGACAATGCGCGTACAGTGCGCTCATGGCGAGCGCACACGCGCAAACCGTACATACGTACAGCCGTATGTGCACCCGCGCTGTGGACCGTACATCCACACCGCTGCACTTTTTGAGGCCCCATCATAGCATGACTTGAGAGTTTCAGAGCTTCAGGGTACGACAGCTGCCCAGATACCACGAGGACTCAATATAAGGAGTCACGCAAGGGCGGTGGATTCGCATGGAAAGGGTAGCTGAGAAGCACTTCAAGTCTTTCTGCTTACGATGTAGTCGCGGTTGCTGACCCTTTTCTCCATTCTTTTCGGCAATGAGTGTGGCTTTTGGGTTGCTGGTTAAAAGGAGAACCACAGTCAATCGCCCATTTTGGAGATTCGCAGATCAACCATGCCAAGGATGTGGCCGGGAGTACCTTGCTGGCACCGGGCTTTCTGGTGGCCGGCCTGGGCTTCAGATTGCTTTGGTGATCCTGTTTCCTGATACATCACCTTGAATAAGGAGCCCAGACACCCGAAACAGGGTGTGACGGGGCCCTTGGATGACCATCAGCGGGAATGTACATGTAAGTTGTTTGTATCACTTTATGATCCTTGTGTGATCAGCTCCTGGGTTGAATAGGTGAATATGTTGTGCTTTACCAGGTTGCCAACGAACCGAGATGGTGATTCAAGGCGAGGGCGTGACTTGCAGGCGTTGCAAGGCAAATGAAACTGCCTACCAGCCTGCATCGAACAGCCTTCGGCTTCTCAGTTGCGCACGTCTAGTCAAAAGTCTAAGACCAGCGGGCATGGCCCCTGACTTTTGTAGCAGCACTCGTTTGGACCAGGTGGGCATACCCAGCATCCGCAGTTCAGGAGTTGCTTGTCGCACCCAACCATGGGTATCAGTTGCTGTGTGGCCAAAGCTCCTTTGGGTGAATCAGGAACCGTGAAACATAGCTCGCGTTGAGCAGGTTGGCAAGGCAGGGTGTGGATACTTGTGCCGTGCCGGCCACAAGATGCCGGCAACACAAGCCATTTCACCCGGAAGGGCTATGGGCCTGGGCGAAGTTTATTGGTGCGAGAGGCGGAGGCTGCAAAGGGTCCATGCCACCTCAGGCTGTATCAGCTCCGTTGTCCCAGACTAGAAGAAGGTGTTTTTCCTTTTAGTTCCTGACGTTGTAGGCAAGCCAAGCCTCAGCCTCAAGCTGGTGCATAGGGGGAAGCGCCAGCATTTCTTGCTTGCTTCCTCCAGCCCTGTCTTCCGCAGGTGCCCTTGACTCAAAGAGTCAGGGTTCGAGTGGCCGGAGGGCTAGCATTGCCCGGGCTCTGCGGGCAGATCTGTGCTGATGCACCATGCCGCCATGAGAGCCTGGTGCACAAAGATGCCATCCTTGTAGGGTGTAGGCTACGAATATTCCACTGGTCAGCGAGAATACAGCCATGCATTGCATGCTGCCACCTGTTGTAAGTATGGTTTCGCATGTTGATGTTAGCTGTTGTTGGCTTATTGTGATCTTGATTGGCTTTGTTTGACGCAGCTGCTCCCCGAAGACGTTTGGCAGCGAAAGCCCTTGCAATCCTTTGGTATAGCGACCTCGCCTACGATGAAGCTTGCTTGCCTCGAGTCTTAGCATAAGTGTTCCATGATTAACTTGCCCCAGTGGTTTACAAATCATCTGTTTCCACCTTTTCACATTCTTGCTCAGACCTCATCAACTGCACCAACCACCAAAGGAATATGGTGGGATTGTCAAAGCCAACGTCATTGTCCACTGGCCATGCTTTAGAGCAAGTGGGGAAACCAAGGCACCACCGACATGCCCCGCATGCCTGGAAAGCCGCACCGTTCTCGCCAACAGCATTTTTCCCCTGTGCTCGAGGCTTTTCGTGTGCCGAAAGCGCCAGGCAGGGTGTGAGCCAGTCAGGTTGCCGCTTTGTTGTTGTCCCTGACCTCTTTTCTGGCAAAAGTAGAGGGCCTTCAAATGATTGGCCTGCGCTTTCCTGTCCACAATGAGGGTCCCTTTTCCTCTACTTGTTTGCTTCAGATGTCCAGAATGATGCATCACCTTGTTTCAAAAGTTGGGCTAAGGTTTGCTCGCAACAACCCCAAGACGATAATCTCTGGTTTCCGTTTCATTTTGCGCAAGTGAGTTCAAGGTTGTCAAGGTTCGCATTTTTGGGAGGATGATTAATCTGGGGCCCATTCGGTCATCGTCCTTTTACTTTCCAGCCAAATGAGCGGGACACAGGAACCTGGAGAACCTCTTCGGTCCTTGCATTCTTGGCCCCTTCTTCAGGACTTAAATTGTCAAATCTCAACATCTGTTTGGTTTTGAGCCCAAAGGGGATCCCCTTGGTGAGCTGGAACACCTTGTCATTTTAAACCGGCTTAAGAGAAAAGACATTGTTGAGCAGAGCATTTTTTGTGAAAACTTGAGGCGCAGACTGAGCAAATACTAAGAAATCAGGAAACCTTTCTGGCGGGTTTTTGGCTTGGGGACTGTACAGGGTACCTTTAATCAGGGGGCTTTTGGGGAGGCCCAAAAAATGATTGGGTGGGATTTGTTGGGTAACTCCTTGCGGTTTTTGTTGCACACGTTGCAAGAACACATGCACCCACCACGCAGCGAAACTCTAGTTATTCACATGCGGCACTTCTGTGGATGTGACAATGTGGGGCCATCTCGACTGTTCCAGCATTTGTTGATAGAATATCAGCCCTATGGGAAAATAATTGCTTATAGTGGTTGGGCACATTCATACGTACATACATACGTACATACATACATTACATTACATTACATTACATTACATTACATTACATTACATTACATTACATTACATTACATTACATTACATTACATTACATTACATTACATACATACATTACATACATACATACATACATACATACATACATACATACATACATACATACATACATACATACATACATACATACATACATACATACATACATACATACATACATACATACATACATACATACATACATACATACATACATACATACATACATACATACATACATACATACATACATACATACATACATACATACATACATACATACATACATACATACATACATACATACATACATACATACATACATAACCATACATACAAACATACATAATCATACATAATCATACATAATCATACGTAATCATACATTCATACATACTATATTTAGATATATGTGCATTAATCTTTGTATAGTTGCCGTGTTTAGAACATGCTTGTGTGAAGCATGTAAAGGTCCCACCTGCAGAGTTTTTGCATGACAGGAACCTGCCCTGACACCGGAAGATGCGGAGGAACGTGGGCTCAGGGGCCAATCAGCGAGCAAAATCAATTCTTGGCCATTGAGTGCTGGTGGGCTTGTGGAGGCTGTAAGCGTGTCGGCAATTGGCGTGGGTATTGGTGGGGCTGAGCTTTGAAGGGAGCTTGCTGCGGATGGCCCTGTTGGCTAACTAGCGCCTCGCTCGTGTGAAATGTTGTTGTTGCCAGTCTCAGCGCCTTCTTGACCATTTGCCATGGACCATTTTGATGAAACGTGCCATGATGTTTCACCCCGATTGAAAAGCTGCACGTTGACGATGTGTTGAATTCCTTCAGCTTGGCAAAGGATAGTTTTGCTAGAAGCCTTGCCTCCAGGTCAGGCTTTCTGGGCTCACCCGACTCCTCTCAGCAATGCGCATTATCCGTGGTCTCCTCCAAGTTTAGCGTGCATATAAATTTATATATACATATATACAGATATTCTATTTGTTTAGAGTTAACATGAGTTAAGTATTTTTTTTGGTGGCCCTGGGGGTGCCAATTCATGGGAAGGACAATAAGTAATAAGTTGATCATGCTAGCTCATCGCTTCGAGATGCCAAAGTAATGGAAGTGGGTAAGGCGCCTTGTCAAGAAGACGGTCATCTGCTAAAGCCTGCCAAAATCGTTCCGTCAGCTTCCATGATTGTTGGAAGAGGGTAGGGGGCTTGAGCATTTGCAGCAGGAGCCTTCATCCCACCAGGACCGGAGGGTGCCGCCTGAGCCAACCATTGAGCGACGGCTAAGCATGTTAACGCTGAGTATGTTGGTGTTTCATTTTCCAGCGTTCACCACGAGCGCAGGTTCTCAGGGTTACTTCAGCTGTTTGTCGTGCTTGCATTTCTGCATCCTTTGCCGAAGATGCCGTGGCCCATCAGTGAAATGACATGGCCCTTTGGCAGAACTTCACTTGTGGGGTTGTATTGTTTCGGGCACGGGTCATGACCTGCCCTGACAACAGAACGCATCAGTGAGACATGACCATGGCTTTTGAGACATGGCTTATGTTTATCTTATCAATTTATTAGTATTGTGCCGGCTGTTTGGCAGTTGCATTGCTTGAAGAACTGATGCCCGGCGCAGGCCGGCGACTTGCTGAAGGGGGAACCGCCCGTCCATGTACAGTAGGGCGCGTAAATCTGATTACACATGCCGGAGGGCCCTCCATGTAACGTACAGTGGGGCCCTCCATGTACAGCAGGTGCTTGTCGGCTTTCATTACGCGGCCGTCCACCTCCCGGGAAAGGAACGCCTTGGGGAAGTCCGGGTATGGTGTTTGCGTTTGTCATGCCTAGCTTGCAGCGGGTGAAGCCATCGGCACAAAGCGAGTTGACTTGGGAATGCGCACTGAAGCCAGAACCTCTGGCAGAACATGTTATTCGTGTGGCTCAAAATTAAACAGGAGGGGTTACGCAGGTTTTGGTCCATGTTTCCACTTAACCAGGGTTTCGTTTTTTTGAGCCACAGCCATGTAGGAACGGGATTCAAAATATCATACGAGACCGGATTGAGCATTGATGGCCTTTAGGTGTTCGTGTGGTTTGTGTGCTTCTGGGGTATTTGATATTTTCCGTGCTGCATGGCGTTATTCGTTGGAGTATCAATCGGTGAGAGGCCTCAAGTTGTTTGACCAGGGCTTCCATGGGGGGTGCAAGGCAAATTGCAAGGCCCCATGCCCAAAGGGCATACATGCATATACATGTAGTGTTTATTTGTTTTAAACATATGTTTGCCCCAGTGTATGTGTGTGGATTGGTATCCATAGTCGCCAGAGTCAGGTTCTATTCCTGATGCCGGGTGGAGGCATGGGTCGCAGACCTTGGCTGATTGGCATGGCGGTTTGATCAGCCATTTGGGCTCAAAGAGAGTGCCCATGGGCTAGGGCGAGCCATGTCGACCATGCAGGAAGCTTCCGACTTGTCGAAGCTCAAAGAAGCGGCAGGTGATGACGCGGCTTTGGATACCCTGTCCCTCGTCGCACGTAGACCGGCCAGATTCATAGAGGGAGGCATTTGCGCATGCGTATGTAAGTGTGACAGCGAGAGCGGAAGCTTCAGAAACGTTCATCATGGTCTGCCCAAGGGGGTTGAACTTGGGGGTTAGGAGTTGGTCCATGTTTGTATTTGATGAGTCTTGCCTCTTGAGTTTTCAGATGTGCTTGGTCACTGAGACAAGAAGAATCATCAGACTGATGCTGCTTTCATTCCTTGCCTGAATGTTGGAATCTGACGACCCCCGTTTTCCAGAACAGCGCGCTGTCCGCACTTGCAGGTCCCATGCAGGTATTGAGCGCAACCACGTCCCATGGATCATCAGTTGCATGTGAGCAGTGTCTTCGTGGCAATGGCGTTTCTTAATTGTTGCTGTAGGTTCGTACGCGCGCGTCCGCATCTCAACCTCCATCCCCCTACTCGCATTGTTAGATGTTTGCTGGTGGCTTTGTTCCGATGTGTACCAAGCCTCGACTGGCAGCCCTCAAAACACCTCATCACCGGGACGCGCGAGTCCTGCGGGAATCGCGGGCAGTAGCCACAGCTGCCCTTCATGCCAGGACCATGGCACAGTTTGCCAAGTTGCAACAAAGGAGATGGCTATGGCTGCCCTTTTGTCGCCTAGTTCTGCTTACTAAAGCAGCACGCTCGTTCTTGCGAATCCGCATCTCCAGTGTTTGAAGCGTGCACGATTGAGGTCAATCTACACCATCCGGCTGCTTGCAGCCGACATGGTGGACAAGGCGAGGGTTCAGCAATCCGGCAGATGAGAGGCCTCTGATACATGCGGTGCTGTCGCCAAAGTGCCACCAGCTTCCTAGGATCTGCTGCTTACTTAATGTGATATGCGGTAGCCTCATCGGCCCTTCAAGGATTGACCAAGGCAAGTCAGGTGTGACGAGGGACTTCCAATGCAGTTGGCCCGGCTGGTGTTTGGCATCTATTGTGTCCTTTCCCTTTGCCTTGGCTAAGTGGACGCAAGGCGAGCGACCGCTCTTGACCGCTCTTGCATTCAGCTGGCTAGCACAAGTTGAGAAAGGGAATGGTTCCCTCGTATGGCAAGAACTGCACATCCATTCGCGCCTTCAGCAGGGTGAGCTCTAGGACTTGCGGTTGGTCGAGGCAGATGGCCCAGATTTGGTTTTGCTTGTCAGGTAGGCTCGGTTTGGAATTGTCCTGGTGACATTTGGGTGGGTCTGTTTTCTTTTTATTTTAAACTATTCTCCTAGTCGGTGCTTTGAAAGAAACTAAAGGAACCCACCCTTTCTCGGAGGTCTCTTGGGTCCAATTCTCCGGGCTTGCTGCTCTGGCCCATCCGGACATTTGGCAATTGACCCACTGATTCCTGGGGGCGCTCTGGCACTCAGAACGTCTTCTTAGCTTTGCCTGCTGGCGCCGAAGGAAGTCAGCATAGAGGTCAGGTGCCCCCTTTCGGGAGATGCTCAGTGAGGCGCCTTCAAAAGGTCTTGACAGATCCTTGACATTGAAAGGGGGACTTTGTGCGTGAGGGGCTGAAATCTGGGTTTTCAGTTCAAAGTCAATCCTTAAAGCTCATGCCGGATGCTAGATTAGTGACTACAGATTCGGATTGGGGATGCCCTTCCCCCCCAACCAAAAAACAGAAAACGCGGTGATTTTTTGCTTCGGCTTCCGAGCTGCTGGCTTCGCTTCGGGCTTCGCTTCGGGCTTCGGGCAGGCGTCTTCCGGGCACCTGGGCACGCCCTTCGGCTGTGCGCCCTTGGCCAACGCGCTCTGGGGCAAGATCATGCATTTCTCGCCTTTCCAGAGGCGCGGTGAACGATTTCGTCCATGGCAGCGGCATTCCACAAAAAGGGCTGCGGAAGAGGTGAGGGTTGCCAGGTATTCTGTCCGGTCAAAGTCGGTGCGTTTGCGTCCAACGTCGTGTTCCCTGCAGGGTGCTGATTGAGGAAGTCGGTGCGGCTTGCGTCCTGGCTTGGGTTTGCATACGTATGGCTACCGTTGAACTCGGGTTCCATGCGGCAAGCTTTTGTGTGAGCAAGCTTCTTGCTGCCATACCATTGGGAACTGAGCAAACTTTGCAAGCGGACTGGAGGCAGTGTTTTTGGAGAGTGCTGGTTTTGAGTGTGGGGTTACACCCAACTGTAGAGTTCGTTGCGTGTTGTGCCTGCTGTGTGTTTTGAGCTCGTTGCCTCAATGAGCTTGCGGTTTTTGCATAGGCGGTGGAAGTTGAAATCCATGCGGACAAGGCTTCAGGCGAGCGCACTGATATGACTTCCTTTTCTGCGCGCTGCAATTGCGAGGTGTGACTTTGATTTACACCCTCCGCTAGGGTCGCTTGAAGTCGTATCGATTGGTAGGAAGTCGTGTCGAAACTACGTGCATGGGGATTCATGTTCCGCAGGGGGTTTTCTTGTGGCGTGCCGGTGGGGAACGCTATTTGGAGTCATGATGGCGCTGTCAGTTATAGATGAATGGCATGACGCCGCTTTGAGTGAAACAGCATGGCGCACTCGTTTCACTTAGATGGTTGCTGACGACGCAACTGCTACCCCAGCCCACCCCACGCAAAGCCAAGGGTCTGGAGTGCCATATTGGGTTGCGTGCGCAGGGAATCTGGAGCTCAAAACATGGCATCTTGAAGTGTTGCGTCCCATTCCGTCCCACACAGTTGGAAATTATACATGCCACACAGCGGCCCATTGGGATTTGAAGCTTCCGGTGCTCCCACTTGATACTTTTCCCAGCTGCACATCCTAGTGCGTCCCATTGGGATTTACACATCGTACGTCCAAATTCGGGCTTAAATCGGATGGGATTTGGGAATGCGTTTGCGTCTCATGCAGGTTTGCCGGTGCAAGCTGTCATGCACTGACTTTCGCCACCGGGTGTAGCCAAGGCTAGATGGACACGAGGAGCGTCATTTGTTTTTGTTGCATAACACTCACTGGCCACAGAAATGCCATGGGCCAACTTGAGCCCCAGGCCGGCGACGCTAGCAGATACATGAGCAGGGTCAGGCAAACTTGGGTTCAGCATTCTGTAACTTGCAGAGGTGATCGCATGGCAAAATGTGCGCCCCGCCCTGGATATGCTTGAGCAGGTGGCTGCATGCTTGAAAATATTTGCCGATGTTGGCGGCTGCTGCAGGGTCATGTGCGGATTTTGAATTGGCCACGTCACGGAATGATAGTAAAGCCCTGCCGGGCATGTGGCTTCTGCGCAGTGTTCCCCTCACGTGGTGCAAGATCAGCCTGGGAGACTTGGCTGCGCAGTTCGGGGATGTTCTGCCTGAAGAAACGGTTGTTGACTGCAACAGGTGGTTGAACCGGGACCGCTTTGTGCTGTCGGTGGGCCATGCGAGCGCGCTGCTCTACGTGATGCTGCACCTCACGGGCAACGGTCTCGGAGGGCAATATGATGCTTGGCGCCCTTGGTTTGTTTTTGTGCGTGTGTGGTTGTGTGGTTCTTTTCCTTTTGAACCGTGTGCTGTTTTGACCCCGCTTGCAATTGCGCAGGATGAATGACATGCTGAGTTCCAAGTATATATATATATAGCTCAAAACAGCCCAAACAAATAGAGACGGCCCTCCTCTAACTATCCCGCTGTATGTCCTGTCACGTCACTTTTGGGGGAAGTTCAATAACTTGCGGATACACAAACCTCTCAGTTGAATTGTTGTTTGATCTTGTTTGGTATACTTTTCTTTCAGAAAAACTACATGCACGAGTGTTGAACAAGGCGGGGTGCAATTTGGACTCCGCCAGAGTAAAGGAAGACCCAGGCGTGTGCTGGTTCCGCAAATGAATGATATGGCGTTGTAGGGGCATGATTGGCCCAAGTGGCTCATAGTCGAGTGACCCGAAAAGCCAAGCTTGCACAGGCTTTTGCACTTCGAAAGCTGGCTGAATCATTTTGAGCCAAACCAGTTTTGGTTACCCACTGCTGAACCAGAATAGCCATGACTTGGATTCAAGTGAGGAGGGGAAACGATGAGGTAATAGCCATAACCATCCGAAGGCCAAAACATCAGCTTAAGAGTTCTTCATGTGCGTGCCCAAGGCAAGGATACTATACTAGGGACGCTTTCTTGGAGGATCTGAAGCAAAGTTTCGAAGTGCTGCATGCAGCCATTGGCCCTTTTCAATTGGTCTGAAGCCCGACAGACCAAAAAGCAAAGGTCGCATTTCTCAGGCGGGATCATGGTTGGGGTGTGTGTGTGTGTGTGCGCGCCCCCTGAAGTATGCCCGGTGTTTTTTTTGTTTTGCGCAAGTAGTCAGACCTTCTGCTCAGGTAGTGTCCATGGAGCGTCTCAAGCAGTTTCGCCAAGCAGGCGGCTCCACAGAGGGCTGTAACATGTTCAATGTTCACCTGAAACGGGCTTGCTGTTGCGCGGCGGGTCCAGGAAAATTGGTTTGTCCCAAAATGGGACGGTACAAACACGGATAACAGCCTCCAGAAAATGTTCAGGCTAATGAATCGGGGGTCAACGCGTTGCGGTTCCAAACTGCCACCAGATGTCCGCTTTTCTCTTTCCCCCAACCCAAGCCATTGCCACTTAGTTTGCCTTTGGTTGCCTTGCTGGGTTTCCTTCATTCCTTACCTTCATAACTTTGTGTGGGTCTAAGTCTGGCCACGAAGCCTCCAAACGGGCCACCCCGAAACAGACACGACGGGGGTTGGGCCGGTTTGCCAGGGCCCCACCTTCTTTGTTGATTTCCCCTGAAAAAGCTCAAAGAAACACTCAGGCAACACGTGGAGAACGAGCCCACCAGAAACAACAGGGAACGAACCCACAAACATGTGAAACGATCGAACCCCCGAAACACAACAGGGGGGGTTCTCCAGGCAGCAGCACGCCTGGGCACCCGGAGTTCCGTATGACCAGCGGCGTGGAGGTCACCACTGGCCCGCTGGGCCAAGGCTTCGCCAACGCCGTAGGCGGGGCGGAGGAAGCGGATGGGCTGCGGGCGGAAGCCCTCTATGAGGGGAGGCGGGAGGAAGCGGACTGGAAGGTTTCTCAAAAAAGTTTTTTTTTTGGTATCCTTGTTAAAAGGCGGCACCGGGTTTAAAAGGGTCCATATGTTTGACAATGCCCCACTTAAGTTCCCAATCTCCATGGAAGATTCGCAAAATCTCCAATCATGGTGCAAGTGAGGTTCCATCTGAAGTCGTTTCCAACATGGAACTGGGCATTTTGGGCCTTTTCCTTTGACCCCCCCCAAAAACAAGCACCCATTGCAAACAAAGCATTTGTGGTGTTGGGGCTACTTTCTGTGACTGAAAGTCGCAAAGCAGTTTTGCAAATAGTCCAAGGTTTGCACAGAAAGTATGTTTGTCTATTACAGGGGCAGACGGGCAGTTGGGGGCAGCTTATTCTTGGCAGATTTATCAACTGGCACCGGGGCCGCTTGTCTGGTCCCCTGGTTGTGCAACTGAGCAGCGCCCAAAGCCCTCAGTGGCAATTTCAGTGAGTGGTGCGGTGTTTCAAGGTTGGTCTTAGGAGTTCTTTGGAGTGCTAAATGGGGGTAAGGTTTGCTTGGAGTTTGTATCGGGCGTGTGACTAAGCACTAGGTAACGCAAAATGTTTGCTCAAGATCATGCTAGTGGCGCGTAGAAAGTTTGGACTTGTTTGCCCAATCCACTCAGGAAGTGAGTCTGCAGTTATTTCCCCTACCGGAAACCAAAAGGAGAAGTTAGACCTCCCATACGTCCACTGAGTGCGGATCATGTTTGAATGGAAGGGCCCCGACCTGTACCAACATGAAATGTACTGGCTCAGATTTGCCCACATGCCCCTTGGTGGTTAGCAGCCTGCATTTTATTGATGAGTCCGTTTTAAGTGAGAACCTCGAATGATTTATCAGGTTTCCCTTCCTTTGCCCCACCCTCCTTCTCTTCCGCCAGGCATGGCCATCGCTGAAGCTCACCTGGCTGCGCGGTTCAACAAGGAAGGCTTTCCGCTGTTTGACAACTACACCTATGTGTTGGCCGGTGACGGATGTCTCATGGATCCTTGGCAGATCCGAGCGGGTGTCAGGTGGGCAGCCAAGTAGCTGCTACTTGAGACATAGATACAGATATATGCTTATATATATATATACACATGTGCGGAATGTTGAGCGGTGGCGATTGGCAAGACATGCGAGTTAGCGAAGGTTGGCCAGGGGCTGGTACCGCTAAGTTTCTGCGAGACTCAAGGAAGCGGCCTCCACAAACCTGCAAAGTAAGATCTCTCTTCGGTACGGCTGTCATCAAGACATGCTCCCAGCGGAGGGTTGGCCAATTCAATTCAAACAACTGCGTGGTGGCTTAAGCTGATAGAACTGAGGCCTGCAGTGCAAATTGGCACACAGCTTGGGAAGAGGAAAGCCGAAAGCTGACACCGCTTGCAGACAGTTGGAACCATGTCAACCCTCTACTAAACAAGGAGGTACCATGGAAAACCAATCTGTTTTTCAAGAACCCCCAAAAAAAGAGAGCCTGGAACCCCGCAAGACCACAAAAGGCGTATTTGTTGATAAAATATTGAACAAACAGCCTTTTGGGGCTCCAGGCGGGTATTTGGAGATTGCGGGGGGTTGGTGACTTTTTTCGGGCCAGTCGGGAAGTGAGAAAAGACACCCCCCCCCCCAAAAGGGAACAGCCTCAAATCAAAACATTGACCAGGTTGATTCATCAAGGGGTTCACAGTATGGGAGTGTCCTTTTTTGAGGGTGCCCTGTTTTTGGTGGTTTTAAAGGAGAAGCAAAAGGAAAGCCAAAGCCATGTTGGGGGTCCGAATCCTACCTTGAAAAGATACCCATCTGATTTAGAGCCTTGCAAGGGGGGCCATGGCAGCCTAGTGACTATTACAGAAAAGTGACTTTCTTTGCCAAGGACCAAAGAAGACATTCCCATGACTGCCTTGCTATGGATATGGGTCTCTCTGGCTTTTTTTGAGGGCACCCAAATTGGATGATGTTGAAGGCAAACCAACAGGAAACAACCCAGGTTGGGGTCCGATCCTACAACCCGACACACCTGTTTGAATCCATGTTGGATTGGTCTGTGGAGCTTGTTGTTTGGGTTTATCTGGGTTTTAGACGTTGTTTCCCAACCTCTTTGCTTTTGGTCTCATGTATTGTCCTGTTGTTCTTTTTTAATTTGTTGTTCTTGTTTGTTGTATTTTGTTCTACTTACCTTTTCCGATTTTCAGCTGTTGCCATGTTTTTTTTGTTGGAACCTTTGTTCCACCTTGTTCCTTTTGCAATTTCCAATTTTGCCATGACGCCCTCAATTGGTGGCTTGGCTTGGGGACTTGCACCCCTGCTGCGTTTGTCCCCAGCCTTTTCACCCTATGATGTTCCACTTGCGTAGGAATGTTTTATTTGTACTTGTTGGTTTTAAAGGGAGTCTATCACTACTGGAAATATGTTTATTTGTTCCAGGGGGCTTAAGCAAATGGACATGTTTCTCCTTTTGGGCGGTTTTAAACTCCGTTGGTTTTCCGCATTGGGGATCAACCCGGTCCTTATCCAACTGAGCTCTGGTTGGCTCATTTTGGGGGACCCTATTTGAGAAGCCCTATCTAAACCCTCGGTTGAGGGTTACCACTCATACCCTCTTGTTTAGTCGGTATTTGTTGACCCGATCGGTTCTCCAGAGTAAATACCTCCGGTATTATTAAAGGGTCGACATGGTGTAGGGCCTTGACCAAGTTGTTCGTATGGCATTATGAGAATTTGACAGCCATAGACTGACCTCAGTGAAAACATGATTTTATCATTGTTGGGTTGCGTGTTCTTGTTTTTCTGTTCAACATGTAGCCTTTTGTTCAACGCTACTATAACATGTTTGCAGGTATCCGCGCGAACTCCTGGAAAAATGATGGACAAATGATGAACAAATGATGAAACAAATGATGACTTTCTGTGCAAAGTTGCAAATCCGGAGGAAATTCTGAAAACTAAGGAAAATGCTGGCAAATCCAAATTGTGCCATCACTGTTTCATCATTTTGTTTTATCATTGTTCATAATTTGTTCATAATTTGTTCATCATTTGTTCATCATTGTTTCATCATTGTTTCATCATTGTTTCATTTTTTGTTCATCATATGTTCATCATTTCGCGAGGGTTCTCGTCATTTGTTCATCGTGTTGGCGCAGTGCTACAAAAAGGTTTGCAGAAAGCGAGGACAAATCATGAATCCGCGAGAAATGATGAACAAATGAAGAAAATTGATGGTGCCAAACGATGCCAAATCCATGAATCAATGAGAAAACAGTTTGTTTCACTGTTTGGCTGCCCAAAGATCTCTTAAGTATGGCATTTCATGGGATCACAAAAGAGTCGCACGCCGAAACCAACACCTGAAACGCGAGTGGAGGGTAGCGGGTTTGGCTCACCAGGAATGGGATCCACCTTCCTTCAGGTCGGGTTGGGGTAAAAACAAAACATTTGAAAAATATATATATATATATATTCTAGGAGCCCAAGACCTCATTATTTGAGGCCTTTGGAGGTTAAAGGCCCTCATATTCAGGGTCCAAGGGGCTCCTAGGGTTAAGCAAATAGTTGCTTTGGTCGCTTTGGTTAGCTTCGTCCTTCCCATCTCGCCTCCAGATTTGCCAGCTGCTGCCGCTGCCTCAAGGCGGAGGATTGGCACCGTTGTGCTTTAGCTGAAGAACTTCAAAAATGTTATGCAAGCTGGGATGTTTCGCACATGAGAAGTGGTTCAATACACATGAACGATCTTTCTTTGCATACATGGTTTACGAAGCCATTCAAAGAGACCCCCCAATTCATATTGACATGTTTCTTCGTCTCAGGTTCGCGTTTGGTAGCTTGCATACACCAAGACGAACCTTCCTGCGCCATGAAGCTGGATGTTCACTTGCCCAATGGAGATGGCTGCTTCATAGAAGTCTCACCGACGTGGTTCATCAGCGAGCTGAAGGCTGCAGCACAGCAACATTTCAAGCGCCGCTTGAAACTCATTGCGAAAGGCCAGCAGCTCGATTCGACAGCCACGCTGTCAGAGGCCGGGTTGCAAGATGGGGACTTAGTGACTGCGGTTGTGCAGCTTGGCAAGCTGGCTGCCACAGGCAGCACGTTCGCTTGTCATGGCTTCCAGGTCGAGGTTGTGACCTGGGGTGATCCCAAATATGGTGGAGACAGCAGCCAGGTCCAAGAGCATCTAAGGAATGTCCAGCAAACCCAAGCAAACCAGCTTGCTTTTGCAGCCATTCTTGAATCTGGGGCTGTTGTGACCTGGGGCGATCCACACTATGGCGGAGACAGCAGCCAGGTGCAAGATCAGCTGAGGAACGTGCAGCACATCCAAGCAACTGGCGTTGCTTTTGCGGCCATTCTTGAATCTGGGGCTGTTGTGGCCTGGGGTGATCTAGATGAAGGCGGAACCAGCAGCCAGGTGCAAGAGCAGCTGAGGAATGTCCAGCACATCCAGGCAACTGCCTGTGGTGCTTTTGCAGCCATTCTTGAATCTGGGGCTGTTGTGACCTGGGGTGATCCAGAATACGGCGGAGACAGCAGCCAGGTGCAAGGTCAGCTGAGGAACGTCCAGAGCATCCAAGCCACTGACGCTGCTTTTGCTGCTATTCTTGAATCTGGGGTTGTAGTGACCTGGGGGCATCCAGAATGTGGTGAACACAGCAGCCAGGTGCAAGAGCAGCTGAGGAATGTCCAGCACATCCAAGCAACTGCCTGTGGTGCTTTTGCAGCCATTCTTGAATTTGGAGCTGTTGTGACCTGGGGTTACCCAGCATTTGGTGGAGACAGTAGCCGGGTGCAAGAGCAGCTGAGAGATGTCCACCACATCCAGGCGACTGAGGGTGCTTTTGCTGCCATTCTTGAATCTGGGGCTGTTGTGACCTGGGGCGATCCACACTATGGCGGAGACAGCAGCCAGGTGCAAGAGCAGCTAAAGAACGTTCAGTACATCCAAGCAACTAACGCTGCTTTTGCTGCTATTCTTGAATCTGGGGCTGTTGTGACCTGGGGTCGTGCAGAGCGTGGCGGACACAGCAGCCAAGTCCAAGAGCAGCTAAAGAACGTTCAGTACATCCAAGCAACTGACGCTGCTTTTGCTGCCATTCTTGAATCTGGGGCTGTTGTGACCTGGGGTCATCCTAAAAACGGCGGAGACAGCAGCCAGGTGCAAGAGCAGCTGAGGAACGTCCAGAGCATCCAAGCAACTCGCAGGGGTGCCTTTGCTGCCATTCTTGAATCTGGGGCTGTTGTGACCTGGGGTAATCCAGAATATGGCGGCGACAGCAGCCAGGTGCAAGAGCAGCTGAGCTTGAACCTGGGGCGTGCGGATTAAGAGCCTGAACAGCGCGCAGGGTTGGAACAACAATTGGGTGTGGGTCAAAACTTGGCACCCATTCTGGAACCCTGGCAAATGGAACCAAGGACTAAAACATGAAAGGCCGCTTGGTGGCTTAATTTTGACCCATGCCCAAGTAAACCCAGTTTTATTCGTTGTAGAGTTCGGGTTTGGGGCAAAACCACACCAGTGCGAAGCGCTGACACATCCCTTCCCTGGGTCGGACAAAGGTGAATTTAAACAAGCAAATCGGGTCCGCAAGTTGATTCCCCTTCCAAAACAGAAACGGTCAGTCAGGGATCATTCTTTTTCAATGTGCCAAAAGTATGATAGTTGGAGCCCATTTTTTGAATGTACGCTTGAACTAGACGTGCCATGCTCAAACACTAAAGCATCGACCCCAAACAGCAACTGTGAAGCTCGCTTCACGTGGTCCATTGCCAACAACCCTGGCCAAGGACAGAGAGCATTCAAATGGGGTGAGAACTTGGGGAGCCACCAGTTTGGGTAAATGCTGTCCGGGAGATTTGGCTGTGGGTCAAAAATCGGTACCCAAAATGGGTTAAATGGAAATACGTAATGTGGTTTCACCCTAGGGCAAGCTTTCCGTCAAGAGGATTTTACTTGACCCCTTGCACCGCTCATGACCCCTTTTGTACCTCCAGCATAGAGTTCAACCCCCATTAAAAGAATGGCTGACCCAATTCAGATAGATGGCAACATATATATATATATACATATATATATATATATATGAGTTACTATTTATATATATATATATATATTGCCCCAACCCTTGATTTAGTGGTGGTAGCTGACACCAGGCTTCGAAATTTGGAGCATGGCTCAAGTCAGACCAACTGAGTCCACGGGAAAGGGCTGTGGACCAGACTTGGGACTTTGCATCGACAGAACACATCAACTTCGAGGGAACCTTTGCGTTGCTTTGAAAGGAACGCGAAAGGAACCGTTTGGATTGGCCCCTTTTGAGAAGTGGACTTAAACGGAGCCAACACGTACTCCAAGCATTCGACCTCTCTTTTGTTTGGCGGTTTCCGCGCTTTAGATGCCCAGTTGCCCAGCGGTGCTCGTATTTCAACTTTTTTGGGAATAGAGTCAACCAACCCAAAAAATCAAATGCCGATCCTTTTTTTTCCGATGGAAATCCACTGGGCATCTGAGGATGGAATCCACCAATCCAAAGGGGCGGAAAACTCTTTTCATAGCATTTGGCTGCAGGGGGCAAGAATCCTTGTATCCTGTGCCATGGTCAAAAGACCGCGTGAAAATTAGAGAGATGGTGCCCCCGGGATTTGTTTGGCCCACTTGCCCAGTGAATTCCGCCCCTTTTTTTCAACTTGTTGTTTGGACATTCCCTTTAGACTCAACCAACCAAAAAAGGATGCCGATTTATTTTTCTCTCATGGCCACTGGGCATCTGAATTGGTTACGGGGCTTCTAAGGGAACCATCACCTCACGACCCATAAAATTTCCCGTCTTGACCGCGCCATTGATCGATCGGACCTCCAGTGGTGCATGTTTGTTTTTTGTTTTGAGAGGGTCGCTCTTTGGCACCAACCCCAAAAAGGTCGCCGGCCACTGCAAAGCTGTTCCTCAAAAAAGAGCCGGTACGCATGTCCCCCCAAAAAGAAAGAAAGAGGAAGAACCAAATGTGGTGGTTTTTCTTTTGGCGTTCCTTTAAAACCACCAAAAACGGGTACCCCGAAAGACACATCCATATGAACCAATATTGGATTGGTTTGCGACATTGTGGATCTCGTGCTTTGGGTTTGGCTGGAAAGAAGGATTTCCCCTGTGGTTTCACACTTTGTTTCCCAACTTTGTGTTCTTTGCCTCATTAATTTCACCTTGTTCTGTTTTTTTTGTTTTTTTTTTGTGGGTCTTGTCCCACATTTAAGCTTGGTCAAGTATTTTCCTTTTTTTGTTCTGTCTTTACATTTTTCGACTTTCTGCCGTTCCCAAAGAAAGAATTGACCTTTGATCCACCCTCAATTGGCTCGGTGGTGGGACTTGTAACCCTATCTTTGTCAGTGTTCTGTTGTTTTCTTCCCGTTCGGAGGCTCCAAGCACCGAGTTTCACCCTGCGTGGGGGTTAGCTTCCTTTTGCCACCTAAGACCAATTCCCATTTTGGAGAAGCCATATCTTAACCATGGGTTAAGGGTTCAAACACTCCAAATGCCAAGGGGCTCTCTGTAGTCGGGCGGTTTTCCATGGTCAATACCTCCTTTTTTTGGTAATGGCTCGACATCATACCCTAAAAGACGGGTATTGGGTGCATGGAGTTGATCATGTTTTGCTCGTATTGAATTTCACCGGGGCCCAGAAGAGTCGTTGCACGCCAAAACCAAAACCTGAGTGGAGGGTAGTGGTGAACAATCCCAGCCTGTAAATCCTCACCCTGAGTTTTGGGCATGCTGCGGCATGCTCCTTTGCACGGTTTTGGATATGGCTCACCAGGAAAGCTGGAAACCACCTTTCTTCAGGGTTGCAGGATGCCCTTAGGCGAGAGATGGTTCACGACCCATGAACGACCTTTCATTGCGTAAAAAAGCCATTCAAAGAAACCCCTCCGAATTCATATTGACATGTTTCTGTGTCTCAGATTCGAGAGGAATCTTCCTGCGCCATGAAGCTGGATGTTCACTTGCCCAATGGAGATGGCTGCTCTATAGAAGTCTCACCGACGTGGTCCATCAGCGAGCTGAAGGCAGCAGCGCAGCAGCATTTCAATCGTCGCTTGAAGCTCATTGCGACAGGCCGGCAGCTCGATTCGACAGCCACGCTGTCAGAGGCCGGGTTGCGAGATGGGACTTAGTGACTGCGGTCGTGCAGCTTGGCAAACTGGCGGCCACTCACGGGGCGTTCGCTCCGTTCGCTTGTCATGATCACGGGGGCGATCTTGTGACCTGGGGCCATCCAGAATTCGGCGGAGACAGCAGCCGGGTGCAAGAGCAGATGCGGAACGTTCAGCACATCCAATCAACTGCTCATGGTGCTTTTGCGGCCATTCTTGAATCTGGAGCTGTTGTGACCGGGGGTGATCCAGAATCCGGCGGAGACAGCAGCCGGGTGCAAGATCAGCTGAGGAATGTCCAGCACATCCAAGCAACTGACAGAGCTTTTGCTGCCAGGGTTGCTTGTGTCCTGGGGTAATGCAGAATTTGGCGGAGACAGCAGCCGGGTGCAAGAGCAGCTGCGGAACGTTCAGCACATCCAATCAACTGAATGGTGCTTTTGCGGCCATTCTTGAATCTGGAGCTGTTGTGACCTGGGGTAACCCAGAATCCGGCGGAGACAGCAGCCGGGTGCAAGATCAGCTGAGGAATGTCCAGCACATCCAAGCAACTGACAGAGCTTTTGCTGCCATTCCTGAATCTGTGTTTGTTCTGACCTGGGGTCATCCAGAATTCGGCGGAGACAGCAGCCGGGTGCAAGAGCAGCTGAGGAACGTCCAGAGCATCCAAGCAACTCGCAGGGGTGCCTTTGCTGCCATTCTTGAATCTGGGGCTGTTGTGACGTGGGGTAATCCAGAATATGGCGTCGACAGCAGCCAGGTGCAAGAGCAGCTGAGCTTGAACCTGCGGCTGTTGTAACTTTGGCGCAAATTCGGAGTCTGAAAAGCGTGCTGAAGAGTGTGAACCCCAGAGTTGCATTCGTCCAAACTGTTCAGTAGATTTGTGGGGGTCCGGAAATTTTCCAACTTGTCCGATGCCTTAAAGAATCAAATCATTCTCAATTTTCCTAGCATACTATGAGACAAGGACACCGACATGCCTGCTGTTGTGCCCGCTACAATCTTGCCCCACCCACCCCCTTCTCAGCCCCGCCTGCGGTTGCAAATAGGGGGTCGCAAGTGGCCCCGGAATACACCTCGTAGGTCCCTGGGTGGATCTACTCCGATGCAGAAGGTAAGTATGTATTCAAGAAGTACATGACCAAATGGAATAGTAAGCAGTGTTTGGTTCCAATAGGAACAAGTGTAAACCGTACCACAGTCAGCAAAGGGGGCTTTTTCTCTATGAGCTAGAGACAGCAAAAGCTGCCAGGCCTTGAGCCATGAAATGGCAATGAGATTGCTGCATGAGTGGATACTGTGAATCAAGCACAGAGCAAACGAGAAACAAAGCAGACACAAATTTCTTTCCACTCATGGCATCTCAGATTCAAATGAATGCTGCCATGGAGCGATTTAGTCGCTCGTCTCATAAGCCAGGAATATACGGAGTACTGCAGTAATAGTTCATTGGGATATTGGTACCATTAAAAATTGCTCGGGCTCCGAAACGTTCACAAGCACTGAGACACACGACTTATACACGGGCTCAGACAGGTTGTGAAGCTGTACGACGCAGAAGGCAAATCTGTATTGAATGAGGAAAATGACCAAATGGAATAGTAAGCAGTGTTTGGTTCCAATAGGAACAAGTGTAAACCGTACCACAGTCAGCAAAGGGGGCTTTTTCTCTATGAGCTAGAGACAGCAAAAGCTACCAGGCCTTGAGCCATGAAATGGCAATGAGATTGCTGCATGAGTGGATATTGTGAATCAAGCACAGAACAAACGAGAAACACCCCCCCCCAGCCCCGGACAACCAACAAAATGCTCTCAGGCAGCGCCTCTTCGCCGACAGCTGTCGCAATTAGTCAAAACGCTGCTGCACAATACTTGCGCAAGGTTGCAGAGCAAGTTGGCCACCTTAATTATTTTGCTATGCGCAGCGAATCAATCACAGGGATGTTGCAGGCTGCCAGTTGAACGTTTTGTTTTGCAATGCTTCATGTTGTGAGTTTCTCAGTGGAGAATTTGCAAATTACGCATTCATAGTGGATTCCATGTCATTCCTAGTATTCCCTACTCAGAGCAAGCCCTTCATGTTCCACTTTCAGTATTGGAGAGAAGGATGTTGCGTGTGTGGCGTTTCCACCGTGTTTGTTCTGGGTGTGGAATGCTCCTTGCAGGTAAACCTTCCTTCAGCAAGTGCGTCTAACGCGTTAGAACCTGCTGCATCCCAAAACAGGCCAAAGAGCAGATAAGTTGCTCGAATCAAAACATGTCAATAACCCTCACCAACATCAATCACCAAACGCAAATTCAAGGAGGATCGATGATGCCCCTGGTAGCCCTGGATGTGAAAGTTTGCTCCCCCCCAAGAAAAAAGGAAACAAGAAAAACAAAAACAATACACACGAAATACTGATCACGGAAAGCATCAACACACCCAAACCCGAGCCTCGGACAGCTGAGGAAGGCGTCAGCCAAGAGGCCGCATCCTTGGCAGGCCACCTGAAGCTGAGCAAACTCATCGTCTTCTACGATGAGCCTTGCAACACCGAGGTTAATACTGTCTTCACTTTAAAGTTACATCCTTGAAGAACAACCCTCCAAACAGTGTCTCAAAGGGAGAAACAACGGAACATTATTTGGAGAACCCCTCATGCTGTTCGCTTGAGGGAGTTGTGTGGTGATCGAAATGAACTCCAGGCTTCGGGAACCAATGGAGTAGCCCAATGACCCTGGCTTACGCTGCAGTTTGAAAAGGAGCGGGGTCAGAGTTTCAGCCTGTATGAGCTGGAGAACAAACAGATAATTTTTACCTGGCGCAGAAACCATGTGGGCGAGTGACCCAGGGGTCTGCAGGTGCGAAGGCCATTCTCCAACTGATCTTTGTTTTGCTGGCAAAGTGACCTTATGTTGATGTTTGGTTCCCCAGTCTTGGATAGAGTTTCATGTTGGGTCAAGTTCGGTGCGCTTTTTGTCTTCTTTGGATAAGTGAGCTTGGTTTTGTGGCGATGCTTGACCCGGGCCCCTTCCCAAAAGGCAAAGATTTGGGAGAACCGTAGGGACCCGCAATGTGGGCAACGAAGCTGGGCAACGCAGTGCGATGTGGAGACGTACGCCAAGTTTTCAACTTGTGTTTACTCCTTGTAGGGAGTTTTTTTCACCATATATATATATATATTTGTGGGCTGTTGTTTCTCGGTGTTCATGTTATGTAGCAAAAGCAAGAAGAGAGGAATGTTCCATTCGACCTAGCCCGCCCTTCCCCTAAGGACAACAAAATCACCATCGACGGCGGCACGAATCTGGCCTTTAGCGAGGACACGGCCACCATTTTTGCAGCCTCTCTGCCTTGTCATCATCCGGGCGCGGTCGACGTGGTGGTTTCTCCTTGGTTGGCCCATGTCAGGTGTTTTGTTTTTCTGTTTCTCGCAGAGGGGGAGGGGAGGTACTCATGCGTTGGTGTCCTTTGACAGTCGTGTTGACAGATGTCGCTTCAATCGAGCCAGCATTGCTTTTCAACAGTTTGGGCACCCATGTTTGGTCGCCAGCAAGCTTTCGAAAAAAGTCTGTTGAACACCTTGGTCCGTGTTCAGGCAGGTTACGCGTGTGTTTCTGGCACAAGCGAGCAAAGCACTGAAATATTCATGCATTCCGAATCCAACAACAATTGTCCCTTTTGCATGTATGGCGGCACAATTCCGCTTATACTGCGCAAGGTAAAACTCATTTGGCAAGCTAAGTTAGCCCTTTGGTTTACAATTTGATTGCCTTATTGTTTTCGAGAGCCCTCTAACATGCCTGTGGCACTCAGTGCGGCGTTCGGGGAAATATGTGTAATATGGGCTAAGTTCAAGTTTGTTGTCAAAGCGAATGACCCCTATTTTATTTGGGGCAGACAATCAAAACACCATGACACCGCATGACGCAACTCATCCCCAGTTTTGAATCCGGGGCCAACTGAAAGGCGACGCAGAATTCCAAGGGTCAGCCCCCCTCCCAATTCTAATATATATATATATGTAGAGATACTTGTGTCTATACTTAGCGAACAGGTTTTTCATGTAGCTATATATAAATATATACATATATATTTGCAGCGTTTGCTGGGCTACCTGATCTACCCCCCATTGTTGGAGAGGGACAAACGATCCTCTTTTTTTCTTTTCTTCGCACCATGCCATGAGACGGAACGAATTGATGTGTTCTCTTATACCGGTATAGGGCGATACAATCACAGTTGGGTGGAGGTAGACAGCACAATCCCCCCATTTGGGTTTAGTCATGCCTTGTACTTACCCTAGCAGAAATTGAGCTGTGTACTTTCAGCCTGGTGCAAATTGCTTCGAGCAGTGAACTTGACAGCGAGGCTAAAGGCTGGAACGTGATCCAGCTGCCGAATGGAGACTCCCACGACCCCAGGACCGTCCGCCTAGACCGCAGGGCATAGGGGGACTAAGATGGGTTTGTGTGATTCCTGGGGCTCAGTACCATTTTCACGTCGGTTTAAAGGGAAACCAAAAGGAAAACCGCCACTTCTGGGATGCTTCCCCCATTTTCACACACACCCAGATCCAGCTTTGATCCTGGTCGTCCCGTCAACTTGGCACTTAGGCAAGAATCGGCCACATTTCACTTTCATCAGAGGTGCCCTGTTGCACCTCATTTTTTGGGGGAAAGCCAAACCATGCTGGTCAGTCTTGTTTCTGGCCTGGCTCTTGATTTCGGCTCGGCCCTTCAGGATTTTTGAGAAGGCCGTGGAGGAGGCTGCGGCCATGTGAGCCGGTGTGACTTTGAGTGTGTCCACAAAAAGGGTCCTGTCGACTGCTTGGTTTCCCTGTTGGCTTCCTTGCACCCAAACGGGTTCACCGGGGAGGCTATTCACATACTTTGACTGAGGTACTCGCAGGCCCTTTTCAACATCAAACATACAGTGCTGATAATGTCTTCTTGGTTGTTGGGAGTTCTTAGATTCAGGTTTGTCAATCGGCGCATGAGGATTCGCCTTGCGTAAGCGAGGTTCGAGAAGGTCATGTAGTAGCTTGCCTTGGGTGGCTAACCCGAGTTTTCGGCGGGCTTCATCCATCCCAACTGGTGCTAAGCAAATGTCCTCCGTCCACAGTACGAGTTTGGTATCACAAGGGGCGACTGCCCATGTGCGCATATGTTTTTGGAGGGCGCACAGGTTGGAGGCGCGGGAACCAAAGACGACCTTTTTCCCACCCCCAATTCTGGCGTCCATGTCCTTATTTGGCTGTGGGTCAAAATTAAACAGCAGGGGTTACGCAGGTTGTGGTCCATATGTCCACTAACCAGGGTTCCATTTTGGTACCATTGTTTTTGAGCCACAGCCATTCTGACATTGGCCAGGCCAAGTCCCAAACGGAGAAGCCGAGCATCATTGTGATGCGGACCACCATCGGCGCGGGGGCGGGTCCAAACGTGGAGGGCAAGAGCAAGGCCCACGGCGGGAAGTTCGCAAACCTGGAGGAGTTCCTATACATCCTGGCTTGTTGGGGAGGGAGGGGGAGAGGGGTGCAAGTGAGGGAAACTGGTCATACAGTTGAATGAAAGTAGACACAACTCCCCGATGTTGGTTTAATCACCGACTTTCCTTACCCCAGCAAAATGGGAACCGTGTTGTGCGGGCTGGGGACTTTCCATACGGACGTGTTTTTTGGAGGGTACCCCGTTTTGGTTTTAATGGACAACTATGGGCAACCAAACGGAAACAAACCATTTGTAGGGCTGACTCATTTTGAGACATGCACTTCTTGGGCGAGTTTCCTTTGCGCACGGTGATGCTGAAGGGGACATCTTTGGGAACGTGACATTTCAGTCCACTAGTGTTATTGCAGTGTCTCAAATCGTGGGCTCTCTTTCCAAACCCTTTTAAGAAAGAAACCCAACATGAAGTCTGGGTCCCCAAAGCGTTGGTCGTGGTGGCTCATCCATGGCATGTATCTTCAAAGGAACCGGTTGTCTGACAAACCGCCCATCGAAAGTTCGTCGATGGCTTTAGTGAGAACTTAGCAAGGGATGCCCCAAGATACCCATTGAGCATGGCAATCTAATTTGGAGTGGTGCTGTTAGTAATTGTGCCTGGAGGTGTTGCGTCTGACCGCATTGCGGAACTAGTGTGACAGATGCGCTCTTGTTGGAGAAATGCGAAGACACTCTAGTGTGACAGATGCGCTCTTGTTGGAGAAATGCGAAGACACTTTGGCCAAGACAGGAGATTCGCGCAAAGTACTTCTCGCCTGACGGCCTTCGCAAGAGTAGCTTGGCGGCACGGTGTCCGCGACAACTGGCTTGCCAGGGGGTGATGGAATGGAAGCGCAAATGAAACTGCGACGAAGACTTCAATCTAGCTCCAACATACTGCTTCATCGATGTGCACAGCAATTCAACTGCGATGACCCTGCACAGGTCAACTGTCAATGGGGGAAGCTCCTTATGATGGTGTTAAAAGGGAAACAACAGGTTTGATTCAGAATTGCGCCTACTTTTGCCAGATGTCCATGGCGCTTGGAGGGAAGATGTAGGGAGCTTTTGCAATTGCAGTGTGGCTTCATTGCAGTTGGTAAGGCCTGTCCGTTCCCTGATGTTTCCTGCTTACGCCACCTTCTGGCCAAAGGCCATAGACAGAGGAGTGCACGCTTGTTCACACATTCCACGTGTCACCTGGCAAATGGTGCCCAAGAGGGGTACTGAGAAATGTCCGGGAACAAAGCTAAGATACTTTGGCTTTCCTAGTGACAGGGACTCTGCAAACACCCCAAGTAGCGTAGAAGCCGAGGCGGCCAGGCGGTCGACAAAAAAGTAGCGGAGATGGTGGAGTCTGAGATGGCCCGCATCGGGGAGAAGGTGCTTCCCAAGTCGCTTGGCAGGCCAGTCCTGTGGGTTTCTGGGATGCACCTAATCCATGGTATGATGCGCCTGGGGAAAGCTCAGCAAACAAAACTTGCGCAATAGATCACTTTCCGAGTGTCTTTACTATGTGTAAACAAATCCCTCTGCAGCAACAGCGACCTCGTCCGGCGGTACAACGGCCAACCCCAATCTGTGAAAGGACTTTTGCAGGGCTGGCTGATGAGTTTGATGTCTTGCGCTATGCGCAGATCCCTTGCACACTCGGTTGCCCACATCACTCTTTCATCTTTTGACTTTGCGATTCTTGTGGCGCAAACCAAGCGACCCGGACCCCAGATCCAGTTGGTTCGAACGGTCTATCGCATTCGCACGTGCCGTCAGCTTCGGGGGAGTTCCAAGATTGGGCTGCTCAAGCTATGATCAATGAACAAGGTGTTTGTCAAGCTAATCGTCGCACGACTGACGGGATGTATTTGGCCACAAGTGCGCCCTGCGTCTTGCGAAGTCTCATTTCGTGGGTGATGTGCTTCTTCGCTTCTTGGTGGCCTTGGCCAAAGCAGCCTTTCAAGGGCATTGTCAGGTGTGGCATGTGTGCCGCAAGCATAGGCCTATAAGGCAGTATGGACCCCTTATATAAGTGGTCCAAAACCTTCATGCCTGCAGAACCCATACCTGAAAATGTCCTAGTCCCTTGAACTGCAATCCTTTGCTGGTCAAAACCCGAACACCTCTCTGCAAGCTGTCAGCCCGCCCGGCCTATAGATGCAACCCTAAGCATGGCAAGCGGCCAAGCAGACGTGTTTCCAGATGCACCACGTTGAACTGCTCAAGTCTCTCATGACTACTCTTTGTCTTCATGTGGCCGATTGAAGCCACAGCGCATCCTGAGGCTATTGATTCGCAAGCTGTGCGGCCTGTTGTTCGAATGGCGGCCCCAGTAATGACACCATACATCAACCCCCTGTAGATCCTATCCTGAGGGCCGACCCTGCGAATCTCGGGCCGCTGCCAGCTGAGGGAAATGAGACCCAAATCGGATAACGAACAAACTTTGCGGATCAGATTTCACCGAGCTTTGCCTGCTTGTTATCATGATTTTTTCGATGCCACTTGTTTTTCCTCAGTGAGCGCTCGCGCCTGAGGTTCTTCGTGCCTTCGCAGGCGGGTGTTATGCATTGGTTTGAGGCTTCTGACCTAAGGCCTGCTGTTTGGACAGGCCAAATTAGTGGCGGTTGATCTAAACATTCATCATCTATTGTTCGTGGGTGAAGGCCGGGTCCAAGTCCGACCCCTTGTTTGATTGACGGTCATGGCAGGGAAAGTGGACGCAACAGCGTGAAGATGCAAAACAAACAAACATGTGAAACAGCTCCGGCAATCTGGGAGCGGTGGATTCACTGGCATGAGAGGGGGCAGTCGCGGAATGCCTCTTTTCATCGCTTTTTCTGTTACATTTGCACGGGCTGTCCTGGCCTTCTATGTTTGCCGGGGGCTGCCCCTGGACCCTTCGCCATTAATCTGAGGAAGGGGTCGGAGTCAAAAATCCGAAGCCCAATGAGAGCGGCGGGATCATCACACGGGTTCTCAAAACGGGCCAATGCCTCCAGATTGGTGGCCCTTCGGTTCCCGCTGAAGCCATACAAGACGGGATACCCTATATTCAGATGGCTGCCATCGGCGCAGAGATTCGAGCCGACAAGAGCAATTTCAATTCGTTTGCTTGATTTTTTGATGAGTCCCCGGCGCTTTATGAGTTCCGCAAAGGAAGCCACAAGAGGATGCATGCTTCTTACATTTGTCTCAGCTTCCTATTAAACTCAGCTTTTGATATGAAAACAGTACTGGTTGGTTATGTCTGGTTTTCAGCGTCCTTTCCAAAACTTGACACATCCATGGACGAACCACAGAACAATGTATCCCTTCCTCATTGTGGCGTGCTACCTGTTGCTTTTTTGGTGGCCCCTTTTGGATACCTCCAGGAATGGAGGCAACACTCATTGACACCACCAACAGGACGTCCCAAGAAAATGAAACGACCCAACTTGTCCCCTTTCTACACGCGCAGGTCGAACGGAAGTTCCGTCAACGTGGGGACGAGGGGGACCAGATGGCCTGCGCATGGAACCGCATGGTCGGCAAGTGCCCCACAGGAGAAGATCTTGGAAACGCTCCACAGGCGAACGTGTCCCGTTCCGGCCAACAGGAAGCCCGTGTTCTACCAGTAGGAGTTTGAAGTTTGTGTGTGCGTTGTTCTGAGGGTACCCTTGCTGTATTGGTTTGACAGGAAGTCCAATGAGAACCTATCACTTTGAGGATCCCCTTAACACACAGCCGCATGTTACTCGTGTAGATAAGGAATCCCTTGCATAGGGGCAATGTCCTTAGATCCATCACTTTGGGCGCAGCTGGGTGAATCTTTCGGTGTTCCCGCGAGCTGTTTGTTGGTTGAATCGGCCATGTCATTTTGGTTGATTAACTTTTTGCCCTTGAAGCCCTGTTTCCAGGGGTGGTCTTTGGTTTTTGATTTGGGCCCTGGCTTTCATGTTTGGTGAATTAGTCATTTGTTGCTTGTTGAAGTTCAAGCTGCTTTAAGTCGATGACTCCTCTCACAACATGTGTTTCGAATTGTGTTGGGTGACTCCGTTTAGGACGTGCATACTAAGGCACGATTGAGGTGTGCGAGGAAGTCTTGTGCAAGCAGTACTTGGAGATTCTACGGATTCCACATTTCTTGCTGCGGACATATCGCAGGTCCTGTACACGAAATTTGGAAACCTATGAAAGCCCGCGATTCGGATCGACTCGTGGCATCAGAGTCGCATCATGGAGATGATCGACAAGCCAACCAGAGACCTGCAGAACCACCACAATCTCCTGACTCTTGAAATGACTCATGGCCAGCCTCCATATTGTTCAGTGATTCAGTGACACCCGAGTTCTCTATCTTTTCCCTTCTTGTGTCTTTTTTTTTCTGTGTGCCTGTCTAAACCTAATCCAAAAGCCGGCCACAGCCAGCAGCGCATCGCACGAGACGCGCGAGACGCGCGAGGTACTGCCGAACCTTCCGTGAGTCTGAGCCAAACTTGGTCCAGGACTTGGAGGACCCGTCGGAGAGTGCGGGACGATGGTTGCCACCGATCCTACAGTGCCTGGTAAAAATAGGTGGAGGGCAGGCCAGAAGGCGCCAGAGGCAGTATATGATTTCTGTTTAATCTGCGTGTTTGCAGTGCTAGGACGGGCTCGTGTCGCGGCCATCAGAGGTAGGATAAAACACAAGTTTCTCTTGACTCCGCTTGTTCAAGAGCCACGGCGCTCCTTAGGACCATTTGAGTGCCTGAGGCCCTGCAACTTTCGCGCCGTGGCCACTATTCAGGTGGCCAACCAATGTTGTCGCGATTGCATGACACCTGGTGCAAAAATGCCGCAGCAGCAAGCAACACGAACAACAATGACAACAATAAGCACAACAAGAAGAGCAACGAGAAGAGCAGCAACAACAACAACAACAACAACAACAACAACAACAACAACAACAACAACAACAACAACAACAACAACAACAACAACAGCAGCAGCAGCAACAGCAGCAGCAGCAACAGCAACAGCAACAGCAACAGCAACATCAACAAAAGCAATCATAATAACAATAATAAGAACAACAACAACAACAACAACAACAACGACAACGACACGACGACGACGACGACGACGACGACGACGACGACGACGACGACAACAACAACAACAACAACAACAACAACAACAACAACAACAACAACAACAACAACAACAACAACACAACACAACAACAACAACAGCAACAGCAGCAGCAACAGCAACAGCAACAGCAGCAGCAGCAGCAGCAGCAGCAGCAGCAGCAGCAGCAGCAGCAGCAGCAGCAGCAGCAGCAGCAGCAGCAGCAGCAGCAGCAGCAGCAGCAGCAGCAGCAGCAGCAACAACAGCAGCAGCAGCAACAACAACAACAACAACAACAACTGCAACTGCAACCGCAACTGCAACTGCGACTGCAAGCGCAACTACAACTACAACTGCAACAACTACAACAACTACAACAACTACTACAACTACTACAACTACTACAACTACTACAACTACTACAACTACTACAACTACAGCTACAACTACAACTACAATTGCAACTACAACTACAACATCTTCAACAACATCTACCGAAACAACTACAACTACAACTGCAGCAGCGGCAGGAGCAGCCACAGCAGCAGCAGTGGCAACAGCAGCAGCAGCAACAACAACAACTTACCCGAAAAGCTTTCAGTCCTGGTGACACGAGCTCTGCAGGAATGGTCATCAGCTTCTGGGTTAATCGCGTGTGTGTTTGTGTGGGGGTGCGGGCGGGCAGGCGGGTGGGCGAGAGAGTGCGCGGGCGGGCGCGCACGTGTGTGCGCGTGCGCGTGCCCGTGTGACTGCGTTCATGTTTGCGTGTTGGAGCCTTTGTCGCCATAGCCCGTCGCAGCTTGGATGGCAGATGGCCAGCCTTTGGGCAGATAATGGCAGACTTCCCTCAGACCAAGTAGGGAATCCGCAAAGGGGGGCCTGTTTCTCAGTTAGCTTGCAAGGCTAAGCAACGAGGTTTCTTGGAAAGCCTGCGGCCAATCACTGTTTGCAACCTGACCTCTATCCACGGGCAATGCTCTGAATAGGGAGTTTCGCCCAGGGCTCACAAGTCACTACCAAGTTGGCCGAACATTTAAGTAGCATCCTCCATCCCACAATCGGCGTTGCGAGCCTTATGTCCTGGTTGAATCATGATCTGGGCTCAGGGATGCGGACTTGCAGGCCATGTCTGGGACTTGCAGGCCATGTCTTGGAACAGCGACCACTGCACCCCCCCTTACTTGAGGTCGGGGTGGATAGAGTGGTCCAGGGCCCAGAAGACAGGAGAGTGATGGCCCGCCCTGTGTTGGGGATGGTGAACCCCCCCATTGCCAAGCCCTTGGGATTGTACGTGTCCTCATGGCCAAGGATGAAGACGTGAACGTGGAAGGCAGTTGCGAGCTGGGTTGATCACACCACTCACTAGGAGTACAGTGTGTTTGTTCGTAGAAACTAGTCAGATATTATTTTGGACCCTTAAAAAAATACTGGCTCTTGAAACCCTTTCTCGAAAGGGCTGTTGGTTTTTACAAGTCCTTGTGCAAGTTGTTGTCAAAGTTGTGCCAAACTACGTCTTTGCCAGGACCGTATGCACGGCAAGTACCTCTCTGACAATTGGCGCAAGGATTTGGATGAATACCTCCGAAAGGACTGCGTTAGGGTACTGCGTTGTCAGGGGATTTGTTCCCCGTGTTTCAGGGAGCAATGCGTCTTGCAAACAGACTCTTGATAGAACCTAAGTGAAGGAGTGGTGCAAAATTCAGTGTGGCAAGTAGGTTCAGTCACATTTTCGACTGAGCTTGCAAGTTGGCTGCCCCCCCCCGGAGCAATGTAGAATTTGCATGTTGAAGCAAAAGCTAAATGCGGTGCTGTGCTCGGGAGCCATTTGTTGTCACCGGAAACCAGTATGATTGGCTTGGGACGGGCAACTGCGGACACGTTTTTTTGGACTGCTGGCAACACGTACGCAGGGGTCATCAGTTTGCGTTCATGGAGCCCGGAAGGGTCGAGCGTGAAGAGAGTATCTCTGGTGGCCTCGCGTTGCTGTTTGCTTCCGCCCTGCGTCGGAACGTGCAGAAGGAGGTACCCTTCAAGCCCTCCAAACAGTGGCTCTCATGTTGCCTGGTTGGGGTCAAACACGGGTCCCTTTCGCCGGCCTTGTGTTGGCAAAGCGTCGCAGTGCCAACCGCAAGCTGCGAATGGTTTGAGAACTAGCTGCAACTCCAACACCGAGGGGATAAGCCATACGGTGAATGAACAAAACCCTGCACCATGCGAAAACTGGTTTTGTTGAAGCATGTGTGTATGTTGTAGGTTTTGTCCATCCTAAGTCATACATGATTTTGTCTATCCACAGTACTAGCATGTTTTGAGCAAGGCTCGGGTGTTGGACGTGTGAGGTCATGCCCTCGCGAATGTTGAGAATGCACACACGAAAAAGCACAGATGTGCACAGATTGTACCAGAGGAGATGAAGATCCTGGATGCCAACCTGGGTACCTTGTTGAACCATGCAGAGGTGAGGGAGGAGGAGGTAGCACCACCGCCCTTCAAGCGCCACTTGGCCAACTCACGGATGGTCCAAAGCCAGGCCTCGTACAGGACGGCTTTTGCCCTGCCGTCTTCTTTGTGGTTTTTGTTCGGAGGGAGGTATTTTTCGCGGGGCAAAGTTTCAACAGCCCCCAAATGAAGGTGTTCAATACCGAGGGCCATTTGACCAAGTCTTCGCTGACAAGGTAATCTGATCGAATGTAGTCAGAGGGGGCCTTACCTCAATGCCGGGGACCGACCCTACAGGCAAGATGATGCCAAATAAAGCTAAATCAAGCCGTCTTAATTTTGGGCGGTGTTCGGCTGTTAGGGTCCTCTTTTTGTCCCTTTCCGTGGGCGGCTCAGACATGCAAGTGGAGCTTCCTTTCTTTTTTCACTGGGACAACGGGCTCCCGGGCATGGGCATGGAATAGGCACCTGTGGTTCGTGTTTTCCTTGTAACCTTGTTATTTACTACTTAAGCAGAATGAATTCTAATTATTGCTTAAACATATTGGGATTGATTCCCAGAGGTAACCTTGTTATTATTTGAGGGTTTTAGGATTATTTCAGCCAATGTGTCTGCGACGTTTAGTGGGATGCATGAATGGGGCCAAGACACCTGAAGATTCGCTTTGCAAAAAAGAAAGATTCTTGAATAGAACAACTCCAAGGACATTTTAATCGAACCGCTTGTCGCACCGCAAGCAACGAGCGAACCGGCCAACACAATAAATCCCGAGTCAAGAAGTGTTGCGATGAATCCTCTCCAAATGCTCCATGCCGAGGTTTAGGGGCTGAGTGCAAGCGCCAAAAAAGCCCAAGACATAGGCTGCGGGTTCTGCGGGTTCCTTGCGTTGCTTTGTGCTCGTGTAGGCGCGCCCAGGTCTCAAGTCGGATGGCGCCTTGGGCTTCAAGCAAAAGGCCGGCAGGGTCTATGCGTCGGAGGTCCTCAAATGCCTGGCGCTGCGCTCAGTGGAGTTCTCGCTGCAGCTCACCTTTGTAGTTCCAGGGAAAGATGGGGTGTGGGTCAAAAATAGGTACCCAGAATGGAACCCTGGTAAATGGCAACAAAGACTACAACCTGCGGATTATTGGGGTTTAATTTAGACCCCTACCCAGATGTGAAACACATTCTTTGCCAAATGCTCGTGTACCATTGTCTTTGCTTTGCGCTGCAAGCGGGTAAGTGCCGCAGACCATGGGAACGCGTTGCCGTGTGGAGCACCTGTACCTGTTGACCGCTGTGATCTAGGGGCTTCCCTAAAATGCTTCGTTTCCCTTCGGGGTTTCCCTTCGAATGCCCACTCAAATGGGGCCCACCGTTTGCGAGAAGTTCCTGTTTGAGGTCCCTCTGAGATTTTGGAAGCGTTCAGCAACTGGAATATGCGCTGTTTGGCATGCGCAGGTTAGCCACCATCGGAACATCGGAGCCGACGATGACACCAGTTGGTGATGAGCAATTGGATCAACCACCAAAATGGTCTTCCAATTTGTCGCTGAGTCCAAGGCATTGCAGCTTTGCCCTAGCTTTTGGTTTTGTACACCAAGTTGACCATTTCGCCAAGTGAGGTGCAGAACAATCCGGCCATCATGGGAGGAGCAGCGGATGCCCCTGGGCCAACCGCTTGCAGGGCACAGCGCAGGGCGAGGGAAAGCGCTTTGTGAGTCCAGTTCAAGCCTCATTTTGAAAGCGACAGTTGGCAGAACGCATTCATGAAAAGGCTTTTGGTTTTCAGGTCCAACCGAAAGGCGCAGAGGGTTTCACTGTTCGAAGATCCGACAACTACACAAACTGCTCAGGAGATTCACTTGTTCAAGGGGATCTACTAGCCGAAAGTGCGCGAAGGGTTGATTTGCTATCCTTTGCTTTGCTATGTCTTTGCTCGGGTATTTGTTTGCTTTGCTATGTCATTGCTTGGCTATGTATTTGCTTGGCTATGTCTTTGCTTGGCTATTTCTTTGCTTTGCTATGTCTCTGCTCTGCTATGCCATTGCATTGTTATATCTTTTCGTGGCCATGGCTTTGCTTCGCTAGTTGCTTGCTTTGCTATTTCTTTGAATTGGTGTGTCTTGGATCTCTGGTTGGCAATGCCTTTGATTGGCCGCCTCTTTACTTTGTCACTTCTTGGCTTGTCTGAAATTGAATTGCCCGTCCGTAGCTCGGAAGTGTCTTATCTGAATGTCCTTTGAATATTGACCTAGCCTATGTCAGTCCTTCCCGTGGCATTTGGAAGTTCAATGTTGCTCCGTGACGCAGCTTGTTTCTAAGCAGTTTGGCAGTTTGGTTGACCAAGCTGACTCGTGAGGGGAGGGTTGACACCTTCACTTGATAAAGGGCGTTGGTCCTCCCACAGGCTTTATTTAGCGGGAGAGGCGCAAACGGTGCAAGCTTGTGGTTCGCCTGCTCGGAAGTGAATGCTGGGAACTACGCAGTCACTCTCACGCAGGTGTTGGGGCCACACTTGTGTGCTGATGCCCACTGCGAACGCAAGCCGGTTCAGCTTTGCGGGTGGCTTGCCCCATGTAGAGAACTTGTCGGTCCTGGTCACGTGTGCGTTGTCACAGGCTCAGTTGGGTACAAGGAGGATGGCATCAGGACCTCACGCCTGCATGTTGTGGCAGCTTAAGCAGGGGGAACTTCTTGATATACCATTTGATCATTCAATCCAAGGGCGGCAATGCTGCGCATTGTGCGGAACTGAAAGGTCTTGCCTAAGAAGGTGATTGGCCCTTCCTATGGAAGATGCTTATTCCCTTCCCTTGTTTGAAAGACAAGCGCCCCCAAATGGGTACCCGCATGCTCCAGTCGAATCTGTTCACCACCGGTTGGACTCCTTTTGGGATGCTCTGACCATGAAGCCAAAGGCAAGCCATATTGGAGACTCCCCTTCGCTTAAAATGACCAAGAAGCGCAGCGCAAATAACACCGATCCGATCTTGGTTTGTTTGATCCCTTACCCTAAGCAAGCACTTGCAGGTGAGGTATACCTTGCATCCTTGTGCCCTTCCCTTGCCCTTCAGCTGAGTGCTGAGCACGGTTTCGAGGGGACGGGGTATGAAACTATAAGCTTTGGGTTTGTCTGAAAATGGTACCCTCTGGAATGGGTGGCTTGTTCATGGCTTCTGTCGAAATCCGAACTTGAAAGCATAGCATATTAACGGAATCTTGAGACAGATGCCCGCGCAATCCCCAGCAACTGCTTTTTCTTGTTACCTGGAACCCTTCGGACATGCAAGTGTGGACGCGGACAGGCCTCGGTGTGTCAGGTGGCCTCCTCCTGTGGCGTCCACTTCCCCGAGCTCCAGGGCCACTTTCTGCCGGCCAGCCGGGCCCCGGGCCTGGCCAAGGCCAGCTACGCCGGCAGGCGGGCCGCGGGGCCGCGGGGTCGCGGGCCACGTCTGAAGCTTTGGCCCCCCCCCTGTTTTGCCGGGGCTGCAGGCACGGCAAACCAGAAAGCCGCGAAAAGGAGGTGATTCCCAACACCTTGCTCCCGTGTTGCTTCTAATTATTGCTCAAGGTGAAGTGCCGAGAGAATGAATCCGCAAGTCTCAAGTCAGGCATCAGGCATCAGGCATGTATACACATGTGTATGCACATACTATCATTTATTGTGTAAAGTCAGGATTTGCATGTGCGTGTGCGTGGAGGTTGCGTACGCGAACTTGCCAGCATGGGCCATGCCCACATTCCGAACCAACGACAGCAAGGGTTCCATCGTAGACTTAAACGTACGGGTGCCATTTTTCCCACAGGGGATGGTAAGCGGAGCTACTGTCTATTGGGCGACTGGCTGTTTTGTTTTGAAGCCATATTGTTTTTGATATAAAAGCCCCCCCATTTAAATATACAAAAAGGTTCAAGTCTGCGGGCGGGGTCTAAAATTGGGAACGGTTCGGGGCACGTTCGCAAAAAACCCGCGCAAACTTGGTCACCGCTACTTACGAAACCCGCGAACTCGGAAGCGCAGTCTGATCCCTTTGGGGACATGTGCACCAATCGCTGTGGGCGAAGCGTGCTAGTTTTTTGCATCAACCATCATCAACCATTTGCAGGGAAATGACATGTCATTGAATTGGGATTGGTATGTCAGCCCAACGTCCTGTTGCTGCCTCGCGGTGAAGCAGTGATGGTGCGAGTCGCCAGCTACTGACATTCAACTGACTACTTGCCAAGGGAAGCGCGCCATCCACTTTTACTCCACTCTAGCCCTCGGGGTGGGTGTGCCTTCTTTGAGAGTACCCTTCTCACCGAATGGGAAGCCTAAAGGGGAAACGAACTCTGTGAGGTAGCTTCTGTTCGGATTAAAGCAACATTTAACCTGCGAGCACAGGTACATTCACTTCGGGGTGAGAGAACATGCCATGCTGGCGATCTTGCACCTCGGCGCTTGGAAGGCTGCCCGTAGTGTGTCTGGGGTCAGTATTTGACGGTTTCTGGGGGTTATCAAATGGGTTGTTTCCCTTTAACCCACCACTTAGGGGGTGACTTTGATCATGATGCAAGAATGAGGCCAGTGCTTGTACAAACTGCGTGCCAGGCACCCGTGATTCAGGTCCTATCTCCTTTTTGGTTCCTCTTTGTTTGTCACGTTCTCTTTGTTTAGCTTTGAAATGATAAAATGCTCCCCAGTCATCCACCCCCGACCGTTAGACCTTTCAGTTCCCGGCGTTGTTTCATGCTTAGTCCCGGCAAGCCAACGGATTGGCGTGCTACTCCTGGGCCAATTGGACAAGACGAGACACCAGATGTGAGGGTGGAAGGGGATTCTTTCATGTTCATCAGCTCCCAGCATGGCAGTCAATTTCAGGGGCTGATTGAGTGTTGCGCAAGATTTAAGAACGGATGCCGGCGAATCCTTTTTCATGATTTGCTGCACATCAGCGGCGACATTTAGCTCTGCAGAATCTAGCATTTCACGATCATGCCGATTTTAAAGGGTTCCTCTTGACGTTGCTATAGTTCGATGTGACATGTCATGGTTCCTTTAACGGTGCTGTCCGAGAAGGAGCGAGCCACAGCCATTCTGGCAACCAACGTGTGAAACAACTTTTCCCTAAGGATCCAAGTACCTGCTAAGGTGGTGCTTTGAGCCGATTTTAAGCCCTCAACAAGCATCCCCAAAGAGAATTTGGACTCTTTGGGCCTGGGCTTTCTGTGTGTTTGCAAAGATGCCAGGTTTGTCAGGACATGCATCCGTCTTGCCAAAAAATGGCTGGGTTCAAGATGTGGTGTCCTTTGCCTGTAAGGCATTGGCCTTTCAAAGCCATGACTTGAAGTGGCTGGCGCTTTTGATGCGTGGCTTTGCCATCCGGGTCGGCTTGACGCCAGGTAATGCACACAGTCTAGCCACCGATTGCCCACCATGTAAGGTAAGCAAGGGGATTGTTCAACCGGCGGCCGTCGGTCAAGGGATTCGGCTGTTTGGTTTACTTCGAACATTCATGGGCGAGAAGGTTTGAAAGCAACGCTTTCAGAGAAAGGGCGAGTTGCACAACCAAAGCTTCGATGGCGTCGTTTGCCTTTCACCACCGATTTTGGCCTTTGACCACTCTTGCGGACTAAAATGCAGTCGCCCACTCACACAAAAGAGACTAGAAGACCTTGGATGGTTTTTTGTGTTTTTGTTGATGCTTGAGCAAGTGGCGATGGCAGGGAATCACCCCGTGTTATGCCGGCATTTTGCGACCGCAGCAAGCGCTTGCTCGGCCGCCCTCTTTTGGATGCCTGCAAAAGGCCTGTCCGGCATTAAAGCGAAGGAGCCCTTTAGATGGGCCAGGATGTTGCCAAGCTTTTACCACAGCAAGAAACCTGGGATCTCAGCAAATAATCGATACTCTTTGGTAGGGCGGATTTTTTTAGGTGAAACCTGGAGTTGGGCCAAGGAACGGTGTGTGCTCCTACTCACTGATTATCCCCTACGGCTGCACCTTCACCGTCTTCTTCCAGTACGGCCTGCCGGCCATTCGCATGGCGGCCATCTCGAAGTTCCCCATCTTTTACATCGGCACCCATGGCGTTCTCTTAGCTCACAGCCATCCGGTTCATCCGGTTCCTTAGGCCTTTTAGCTTGGTAGGGCTTAGTGGTTGGAATTCCATTTGAACCCAAGCTGAAACTTCAGATCGCTGGGGATCTGAGGGCAGTTAGGAATACGAGCTGCAGACATGTCACAGTGAGGAAACCGCAAGTTCTATTTGACACTTGAAGGCAATCGCCGGTTTGGCTGGCTGGCTTGCAAAGGGCGAGGTTCAACGCCGTTGCAACACATCCAAGTGGGATGAGATACGCAGCGCCTCCTGTGTAACACTTTGGCTGGCTCATTTAATGGGAAGTGATCTGAGCCGTGGTAGTTTAAAGCGTGGATGTTCAAGACCTGTTTGTATAGGTGACCATGTGTCTAGCTTAGCGTTTTGTCCGAGGGGACCAAACTTGCTTTTCACCTGGGTTGCCCGCCACTCCTTGGGCCAAACGAGTCCTTCACAAGCGAGTTTGGTCCCAGCCAGGCACCCATGACTCCATCGACGTGGGGGAGGACGGTGGGGTTCCAAAGCAGCCCAGCTGCGTCCTTGAGAAGGCTGCTCGGGCCCAGTGCCAGGTGCTATGCAGTCAAATGATCTGACGCGGATATGTTGCGCAGGAAAGCCGATGACAATAGTCCAAACTGTTTTGCTTCCATGCGAGCCTCATGGGCCGTTGATATTTCCATTTACTGTAGAGTGCTATGCATGTGAGACCCCAAAGGCCACATTCGCCTCCAGCCACCAGCCCCATGCGTCAGGACGGGCCTACCCATCAGCCAGTGGAGGTGCTTCCTCAACTCCGGGCAATGCCCAACCTGTTGCATGGCTGCTATTTGGGTTGGACCTTTCACCTTGGTGCCTCCGTAAGGGCGGGGGAGGAGGAACTTTGCATTTGCCGACTGTGCCCACAAACCAGCTGACCCGCAAAGCGAACAAACAAAGTAGCTGGGGTATTCGACTAGCTGGTTAGCTGACCGAAGTGGTATCCCTACAAATTATATGAATACAGAGATTAGTGAAGGCGCCCTGAAGCTACTGGGGCAAAGCTTTCGCAAACACTTTTGTGATGTTCTGTGCACATTTCGCCTTTAAGCATCACCCTACTGCCACCGAAAGAAGCTTACTTGCGGAACGGGGCTAAAAAGGTGATGCAAACCACAAAAAGGGGCAGTTTGTTGGCCGACCATAGCGACGCGGCTCCCACAGCAAGTTTGGAACCCATGACCACCAAGGCTGGTGGTCCGCCCCGCGGACGTCAGCGAAACCGTAGGTGCCTTCGAGGTGTTGGGGGACCAGCAGCCCGGAATCAACTGAAGCGCGCGGAATGGGTGGGGCATTGTTGACTTTGTCCCAGGTTCAGCAGTTTTTGGGGTCGAGAATCATACAGTAAAATAGTGTTTTTTATAGAATATTCATGCAATATTGCGCAAGTTGTTGAGGGGGTTGCGGCCTGTTGAGTCTCCCTTTTTCAACAGCTTGTTCAGTTGGCGGATCGACATGTCGGCGTCCTTTTGCTTTCCAAGCAGGTGGGAGCTGTGTATTTTCGGCTCCCGTGGGCAGGAGCAGGCGCTTGTCCGCATTTACATCTTCAACAGCACGTGAGATGGAGAGTATGTTGCTATTTCTAGGGTGTTTTGTTGTTTGGGTTGAGTTTTACATGGTGACTTCTGCTTTGGAGTGCTCAGCTGGTGTGATCTGAATTTCAACCCCAGCAGGCAGTTCTGCGATCCATGATCGCATTCGGCCCCACTCCCCTGTTTCAACCTTGCTTGTTGGGACTATTTGGGGACTTGCGCCAACCCACGCTCCTTCAACTTAGCTTGCAACGCCCATAAATCAGCACATGCGAAATCTGGCTAGAAGGGTCGGCTGAACAGGCACCTATCTCATGTCAGGCTTGAAACTCCGGATCTTCGGATGTAGGTGGAATTATATAGTGGGTACGGCCAATATTCCTCTTGACAGGGACACGCCATCCCCCCATGAGGGTAGAGATTTGACTATGTTTGGGTAGTGCCTCTGTGTCTTTCCAAATGTTCACTGTGCATGATGACAATGATGGGATGCCCAGATGGACCAAAGACAAGACCACCAGAACAATGGCAACCATAGCTGGGCAGGCGTCATTGGGAGGCTTGCTCTTGCAGGAGCCTCAAACCAGCAATAATTGTGGGCTTGAACGGGTTGTTGGAGGCGGCGTCCGATGTTGCAAGCCAAATACGTCCCATCGACCGCTTTTGTGTATTCTTGGTTTTGTCCAAAGTGATCCAGATTGTGGGGGCTGTTGAACAAGGCAAAGAAACAAAGCTAACGATGCGAGCTATGTCACACATGCATGTTCGGCATGCTGCACACACACACATGCGCACACGCATGGGCACCGACATCGAGACAGATACAGAGGGAGAGAGATGTCAAATATCATGTTGCACTACTTGTCACTTGTGCATGCATGATGTGCACAACCCGACTGCAGGCCTTGAGTCTACCAGGAAAAGAGTGCATGCTGGCTAACTACATTTGTGTTTGTGACAACAGAAACAACACGTGCACTTGCAGTAAAGTACCAAAGTATTTTAACGTGGTAGCGGAGCTGAGATCCTAAACATAGGGGAGCTCCAGTAACAGCAGTAAGTACTACAACTGCACAGGCAACCACATGCCCAACTACTACGACATGTCAGGAGAACCAGCAGCAGCATCAGCACAACCAACTACAGGAGCAGACAACGGGCCCACAGCAGAGGAGACAATAGGAGCCACAACTACGGGAACAACACAGGAGCAGGAAGACGTCCAAAGGCTACACAAATACAAACTGCCACCACCGTTCTTCACTGGTGACTACTCACAGTACGAAGAGTGGCTGTTCAAACTACAAGCATACCTCGGACTCATCGACCGAGACTTCGACATGGTGCTACAACTAGCACAAGCAGCTACAAGACAAATTGAAGATGCAGACATCAGAGCCCACATACGCGACCCTACACAGGCAGCAAAAGCAGTAGACCTCTCACGAGATCTACACTACATCCTCATCAACATCTGCCAAGGTGTAGCAGCTACAGTGGTCAGACAAAACCGCTACAATGCCAATGGATGTGAAACACTACGGCTTTTGCACAACAGGTTCAGCCTATCAGTAGGAACACGCAGTGTTGGCTACCTCACCAAACTACTGGAACCTACATTCACTGAAGCACAATTTGAAGAACAATTCCTACAGTGGGAGTATGACATCAACCGCTACGAGAAAGACAACGGCACAGCACTACCAGACGGAGTGAAGATTGCAATACTACTCAACAAGACTAAAGGAGCACTTCAACAACATCTCCAACTACGCGCTGGACAGATCACGAACTACAACGAGATCAGAGTTGTGATCCTGGACTTCTACAAAACCATATCTGCATTCTCAAGAGCGAGCTCAGCAGTTGGCATAAACTACAATGGTGGAACAGCACCAATGGACGTGGACAACATTTGGAGAAAAGGAAGAAACTACAAAGGCAAAGGCAAATATGGAGGCAAAGGACACTACAAAGGAAACAAAGGAAAAGGCAAGTACAGAAGCAAAGGCCACTACAAAGGATTCGACGAAGGCAGCAAAGGAAACTACAACAAAGGAGGATACAACAAGAGCAAAGGAAAAGGCTACTCAGGATCCAAAGGATATGGATCAAGCAAAGGCTACAAAGGCCAAGGAAACTACAGCAAATCAAAAGGGAAAGGAAACAACAACTACACAACATGCCATCGATGTGGCAAGCCCGGCCACTGGGCACAAGACTGCAGAGTGCCAGTATGGCACATAGGAGAAGGAGAAGAACTACATCCAATAGAAAATGAACAAGCAGATCATGACAACAATGAAGAACTACCTCAGGATGTGAACGACACCTGGGACTGGTACTACGAAGGAGAAGAAGGACAACACGAGGTGAACTACATGGAGGAGAACTGGAACGACTACGACTATGACAACAGCTGGGATTGGAATGACAACAGCTATGAGGACACAGCAAACTACATTGGAGGCATCAACGAGTCACACCTCACCATTGGACACATCAGACAAGCAAACTCACGACTACACAAGCACAAATCCAAATCACTACTTGGCAAGAGAACAACACACACAACATCATGGAACGACCACAGCAAGAGCTTTCAACAATTCCTACAAGAAGACAACACACAGCCACACTTTGACATAGCAGCAGCAAGACAACCACAAAGGAACAAGAAGATTGAGGACACTATCACACACTACATCATGTATTCCAACTTCAATTCATACCACCACCTGTTGATCGACTCAGGAGCATCTACACATGTTTGCCCGAAGGACTACGCACCAGACCTACCGCTACGACCTTGTGGAGAATCGGTTCCACAACTCTACACGGTTATAAACAAGAAGATTCCTGTCTACGGCATCAAGTACGTTCCCTACAAGCAGGACAACTTCAGAATCATGATACCCTACTACGTTTGTGATGTGAAGTATCCAATCCTCAGTGCATCAAGACTACTTGATAGAGGATATGGACTTGACTTCACTCCACGACACTGCACCATCACACATGGACAACAACAAGCACACCTCATAAGACACTCAGGACTTTTCTACCTACGAGCAGAGAGAAGATCGACATCCCTACTGGATTCGACATCTACCCAATGACTACACACAATGGAAAATCCATTGCTGTGATTCAACCTACAGAGAACGCAGTACAACAACAAGAACAAATCGCACCACTCACCCACACAGACCAAGGACTACGACAGATCCTTGGTGGAAACACTGACTGCTGGAAACTTGATGGTGGCTACGCCATCAGAGTACACAAACGACCACGCAAAGCACTATTCACACCACACAACAGCGGCTGCCCAATACCTGAAGGAGAACTAGATGATTGGCGACTAACCATCATCAACAGACAAGGGCAAGAGCAAGAACAACTACAAGAGAACCCAACACAACTTTCCAAGCAAGAACTACAACGAAGACTAGAAGGTGACAACTGGACTGGAGAAACCAGATTCAGAAGAAAGATAACACCTACACGCAGAGCAACATCAAAGACCACACCAACAAGGCAGAGCTCACAACCACAACGGCTAATGGACACACCACCAACCAGATCAAAGATCCAACTACGAGCACCACAAAAGATATGGAGACCTAAAGCAGCACCTTCTACAAATCTTGACACCACACAACCAAAGGAGACAATCCACAGACCACTCACAGCACAGGAGGACAACCAAGACTACTGGGAAAGACAAGGTGAACACTGGATAAGACACCACACAACACTTAGAACAACTCTATTCACTCCAACAGATGGACCAGGACATCCACCAATCAACACACTTGAACCTCACAGAACTACAATCACTCACAACAACTTTGGAGAAGTTTCACAACGCAAAGATGACTGGACAGTCATGGGCAACGCAGCACTACCATTTCAATGGAAAGGAACAACAAGGTTCACCGTGAAGAAAGACTACGAGTACATCCAAGAGAACCACGATGAGGAACAACAACACGAGCATCATGAAGCACACAGAGCAATAGGACTACGACAACCTCAGCAGCCCACTCCACAACAAATAGCAGAACACAACTTGACACACCTACCATACAGAAATTGGTGTCCAATTTGCGTTCAAGGCAAAGGACGCCAGGACAACTACAAGAAACAACAATCACGACAACCCATCATCCAAGTGGATTTTGCCTACATCAAATCACAACAAGATCCGAAGACCATACCAGTCTTAACGGCAGTTGATGTTACTACACAACTGTGCATGGCGGTATTGGTTCCGGACAAACCATCGATGATGGACTACATGATCAACAACCTACAAGCATTCATCTTTGAATGCGGAAGAACACACGGCATACTACAAAGCGACAACGAAGACACACTCAATGCACTACTACAAGCAACAGCATCTAAAGTCGGCTCAATGACTGTACGACATTCACCGTCCTACAGCAGCAACAGTCAAGGAAGCGTTGAGCGACTACATAGAACACTCCTCGGACAAATCCGCGTCGTCAAAGCTCAGGTTGAAAGCAACTACAGCATGACGATGTCCACAAAGCACTGTCTACTACCTTGGATAGTACGACATGCAGCATGGACGGTAAATCGCTACGTCATCCACTCAGACGGCTACACAAGCTTTGAACGCCGCTGGGGAAGAAACTACGAGCGAGCAATCTGCGAATTTGGCGAGACACTACTCTACCTTCCACCACAACACAAGAAACTCCCAAAAGCAGACCTACGGATGCAGAAATGCATCTGGCTCGGAAAAGTTTCCGAAACCGGAGAAAACTACGTCGCAACGGAATCAGGCGTACAAAAGGTACGAACAGTGCGGAGACTACAACCGGACTTCAAATACGACCTCGCACTATTGAACAAAGTTTCCGGCACACCGTGGGCACCACGACGGAACACCTACAACCCATCTTCGCAACACTGTTGGATGCGCAACTACCACCGTCAGAGAAAAGAAGGTCCACGCAAGATTTCGGACAACAAACGAACGCTACGGACGACATCGTTGCGGAACCCGCAACAAAACAACAACGCACCACACCACCTCCACGACTTCCGTCAACATCGACGTCAAGTTCACGACCACTACCGGATAGTCCGATGGCTACTTCACCAACCGGACGACAACATCCACCACTACCAGCACCACCTCGACAAACACTACGACGTTTAACTCCGGAAGAAGTAATGCAACCCACTAAAGCACAGAAGACCTCAAAGGACACTACAATCAGATCAACGGAGCAAGCAACCAAAGAACCACCACCACTACGACAGAAAATTAACGCAGTGACACTTCCCAACGGCAAATTCATCACACCCTACACAAACGACGACACCTCAGAAGACCAACCCATAATCTTCGACAACGAAGGTTACGACGAAACACAACTACTGGAAGGAATGAAACACGAGTCAAACCAAATGAAGCTACATGACGTCTACGACGAAGTAGATGCGTCTACCGTCGACGACAACGTCATCAGAGAAGCGATACCTACAAGATGGGTACACAGAAAGAAAGGACCAGGAGTACGAAGCCGAATCGTCGCAAAAGGCTACACCGAGAAGATCGAGGACGAAGACTCCGTCTACGCCTCTACACCAATGTTCACGACACTCCGGACACTTCTCGCACTACAAATGTCACGACCAAACTGGATAGCGCGACTAGGCGACGTCTCTACAGCATTTCTACACGCACCCATCGCAAAAGACCACGACGGTAAACAACGTGACGTCTACCTTTGGCCACCTAAAGAACTTTGTCCACAACAGGACAAAATCTGGCGACTAAAGAAAGCCATGTATGGACTACGCAGTTCACCAAAAGCATGGCAGGACTACCTGGCTGAAGTGTTACAAAAGCTCAGCTTTGTAAGACTAAAGTCAGAACCTAACGTCTACACCAACGCGACTCGCGACTGCTACATCATGGTCTACGTGGATGATCTCTTGGTACTTGGTGACAAGACTACTGTCGACTCCACCTTCGAGGCCATCCAGAAGCAGGTCCTACTCAAGCACATCGGCTACCTCGAACCTGGCAAACCACAACAATTTCTTGGAAGAAACATCGACCACTTTGGCAACTACTGCAACCTGGGACTAAAGGACTCCTACATCGACAACATGATCGAGGAGTCTGGAATGAACAACTGCAACTCAGTGAACACTCCAGGAATTGCACACTACAAACCAACAATAGAAGATGAAGCACTACTTGACCACGAACAACACAAAAGGTACAGAAGGATTGTTGGCAAACTACAATGGTTAGCATACACACGACCAGACATTGCATACTCCACAAAAGAACTAGCACGAGACCTCACAGCACCTACAGAACTTTCACAAAAGAGAGTCAAACATCTACTACGCTACTTGCACGGCACCAAGCACTACAAATTCACCATAGAACCAACAACAACACTCAGAGCAAACACCAACAACATCCTGGATCTCGACGTTCATGTCGATGCCGACTGGGCAGGATGCCCTACTACCAGGAAATCAACTTCAGGTTTCAACATCATCTTTTTAGGAACAACAGTTGCATTTGGCAGCAGAACACAAGCTACAATAGCACTCAGCTCAGCAGAGTCTGAACTCTACGCCATTTGCACAGGAGTTAATGAGGGACTACACCTCAGAAACTTCCTACTTGAAACCAACATTTGCAGCAAGCTAAATCTACGCATCCACACAGACTCCACAGCAGGCAAGAGCATTGCTACACGACAAGGCACTAGCAAACGAGCAAAACACATCGACCTTAAATTTCTCTACACACAAGACCTCATCAAGCACGACATCATCAGAATCCTCAAAATCAACACACTACACAACAGCTCAGACTTGTTCACAAAATACATTAGCAAAGAAACACTACAGAGGCTCATACAGAGCATTGGCATACGTGTTTAGCACTACGAACAACAACTGTTTCACAACAGTAACAGTGACTACAAGTAATAGTAATTGTAACCACCAGTAATTTGCACTTGCCCTTTTGGCGGCTTTTGGCGGCTTGAGTAAACACTACATGTTGTTTTGTGTTTTACTACATGCCCGCATGTGCTTTTGTGAGCTAACATTGGCTCACTACTGTCTGCCCCGTTTCACTGCATCTCGATAGGCCGAACTACCAGCAATGGCTGGAACTACGCCCATGGATGCGACTACGCTGGATGTCACGCCGATGGAGGTTACTACATCAGCGCCAGAGACTACTCTGCCCGTCGAACAACAGGCTGGCAGTACTACACCGGACCGTGTTTTCACACCACCGGATCGGCAGGGCACTACCGACTCCAGCAGCATGGCTACTTTGGCCACACCACCACCTGAGGCCTACAACTCCCTCAACTACAACTTCAATCACCAACTACCCACACCGGCACCTTTCTACAGACCCGACGACATCTTGGCACACCTCACTACAATTGAGAACAACATCCCTGACACTCCAGCGATCGACCCGGAGCAGAACTACTTCAGGGTCTACGTGGCTTTGACGCTCGAGGAGTTCCAACTACTAAGTCAACAACAAACTACACCATCCCCGAGCTCAACTACAACCTACCAGTTCACGACCTACCTTCAGACCTACGGATGCCACACTACGACTCACTACCTCTTCACCTACGTCTTTCAGAGGCAGTCAACTTCTACTACTACAACCTAACATCACTACACCTCACAACTCAGTACACCAACTCGATGGTCATCATCCAACTACACATTCCACCAGAAGTTCTACTACGATTTGTCAGTGCTGGACAACTCATCAACTTCTGCCGCGACTACGTGAGCCACATGATCTCAATCAAAGACGAGCACCACCTACCTACACGCCAGCTACATCAACGACTACACCGAATCACCTACAACTTGACCAGACCAGATCACCACTACATTCAACCTGTCCAACAACTTCATTTGGAACTACCACATGCCCCTGTACCTACCAGAACTACTCAACTACTTCGACCAACCACAACAACTTCAAGACCACCACTACAAGTCCATCAACACGATGCTACACAAAAGCGTCACCTACTACGGCATCACCCTCCTCACGGCTACAAATCTTTCCACACAATACAAACTACTACTCCACAACTACCTCACTACAACCGGCCAAGCACTTGCACCACCAGAATGCGACTACAACCGCCTCCGTGGCGGTCCAGACTTCCTCAACACATTCACTACCAACCACTATGCAGGCTTGGACTACCGCATCAGCCAAGTCCAGAACTACCGAGTCCAACACTGGACTAAGCACACCTGATCTCTAGGTGGAGCTGCAACTACGTGCTGTACTACGTCATCGTACTACGAGATGACTGAGAGCCATTTAGGGTTCTTGTACAGCAATTTCACTTTTTGATCATTTGAAGGTTAGTTGAACTACAGACAGCAGCGCTGTGGATACCTACCTTCGGTCATCTTTTTTAAGAGACTACATGCCTGTTCGCTACAGTAGCATCGGCAAACAACATGTGCATTCGTTTTTGCCACTACTGTCAATACCACCTTTTGGGTCTATGGTTAAAGGACACTACAAGGTCTTTTAACCAAGGGGCCGTGTCAAATATCATGTTGCACTACTTGTCACTTGTGCATGCATGATGTACACTACCCGACTGCAGGCCTTGAGTCTACCAGGAAAAGAGTGCATGCTGGCTAACTACATTTGTGTTTGTGACAACAGAAACAACACTTGCACCTGCAGTAAAGTACCAACGTATTTTAACGAGAGAGAGAGAGAGAGAAAAAAAAATGACACACACACACATTCTCGCGACCAACTATATTGGTTGATAGTCAAAATGCAATTTTCCTACGCTTGTGAATGTGTACATGTATATATATAGAGATATGTATGTGTGCATAGGTGTGTGTGTGTGTACTGATTTATGACATATATCGTTCATCTATCTAAGGTGAGTGTTGCGCACGTGCGTGCAAACAACTTCCTCATGGCCATCTCGAGTCGCTCAGGTACGCCAACTTCCGGGACATCAGCCAGTACGTGGATCCGAAGCCCTTGGCTCGGCGCCCGGTGTTCCTGATGACCTCTCGGGGAGAGCTGGGCTTTCCCTATAAGCCCCTGAGCTGAGAAAAGCATGCATGATCTCAATCAGCTGATGCTGCTGATGTTTCTTCTTTTTGTGCTTCTTCTTATCAGTGTTATTCCATTTGGTGTGTTTTCTTCTCATCTTGGCTGTGAAGCTCTTTGGAGGTTTAGTTGTGGTGTTTCGGCACACGTTCAAGAAACCAACAGGCCCAACGCCGGCATCTCCGGCCGGGAGGGCGTGAAGCGGGGGGCCTACGTGGTGCACGACTGCTTCGATGTGCCGATGGATGACCCGGCGGCTGGCCTCGTGAAGCTGCCTACGGGCGCGCGCGTGCCAGACATCATCTTGATCGGCAGCGGCCAGGTGCGGCGGTGCCAATGAAGCCAGTTGCTTAATAGACTTAATAGTTGGCATTTTCCCTTGTTGGTGTTAAAGGGAAATTATCACTACTGGATGTAGGTGTTGTTTTTTCAGGGGGCTTAAGCAGGTACATCTAGTGGGTCGGGGCTGGGTAATTGTTTCAACACTCGGCCGCTTCCTTGTCGCCTCTCTGTTGAAACGAAGGTGTCTCAAGATGTCTGAGCAAGTGTTTGGCCCAACGTGTGGTCGCTCACTGCTTGGCTGAAATGTCCGTGAAGTGTGTCCCCATCCAGTCCACCCGGGCAGATGTGTTCGTGTGTGTGTGCTACATAGCATGTCGCTCAATGGGAAAGAGTCCCACAAAGGAAGCTGTTGGAATTCGGGGGGTCCCTCTCTGTCCATCTTCTCGCACATGTGGCCGCATACGCGTTGGTCATCTTGGCTTTGCCACCGATTAGTTTTGCTTGTTGCCCGCCGATGGTTTGGATTCGTTGCACCGGGCCAGGTGCCAAGGCCCGGTGCAGGTGTCCCGTGCCAGGATGTGGGGCTGTGCATGAAGGCAAAGGAGATCCTTCTGAAGCAGCTTGGCCCAGTCGGGGAGAGGATTCGGTTTTCTTGGGCAAATGATAACTCAGCTCACTAGGAATAAAAACGAGCTTGGGTACGATGGGCGTTTCTTGGTTGGGGGGGGGCCTCTGAAGGCGATCGCTTGAATTTGGAGACTGGCACCGTGAGATGGGCCCTGGCTACAGGCATGGATATTTTGTTTGCTTGCCCGCAACCAGAAAAAATGAATTCCACAGGTGGGGCCCCACAGTGACGGTACTTGGAATGGTGCTTAGGCAGCACGGCACCCACACCACGGTGCAAACTGAGACACACCGTGCAGTGGACAACCCATCCTACCATTGGTGTTTGCAGTTCCGCGGGTACAACTTGCAACGGCCAAAAGATAAGAATTTTCCCTATGTCGGAGCCCCAGGGTTCCAATGCATTCATGTCCCCAAACAGGGCCCTCAGAAAGCAGTATAGTATTGACCAGGCAACCGAGGTAACCAGTAAAGCACACTGAACTACACCTTGTTGCTCCACGTGTTCAAAGAAAAACGGCAATATATCCAGGCGGCGGCCCTAAACCGCCAGGGCCCAGAACCAGCAGAGACTCATCGGGTGGGCTCGGATTTTCGACAACCTCTAGAACAAACCAAGCAAGAGCAAGGTACTGCATCAGAGTCACAGCAACTTACCGTGCTTGCCTGCTACTGACCACGGAAGGCGAGATACGCCTGCCACAGGAAGCTGATAAAACCTTCGAGGGGGGGAAGGAGGGTTGGGATGCGACGGACAGGTGGTCCAGCAGCTTCTATGAGCAGCTCCACAAGAGTTTTGACGGACCGGTGCCTCTGCCGGTCTCTCACAACCAGCCGTGCCTGAAGCTTGCCTGCAGAAAAACCTACGCCATATTTCAAACTTGGTAAACGGTGAGTGGTCATGTCGCGGGCACTATACACCCTTGAAGCATGATATTGGACAACCAGCACGAGAAGTCGATTAGTTTTTGGCGTGAAAGACAGCTGTGCCGGCTGATATGAGTTGTTCACCGTGGCACCTGCCAACATGTGTCCCTTCTTGTTGACTCATTCTGCTGGTATGCCACAGGGAAAACAATTGATTCCTTCAGCAATCATGCACTCTGACTGCGACCGACCAACAGAGGAAGATTCGCATCATCTCTATGCCTTGCTGGGAACTGTTCGATGAGCAGGACCAAGACTATCAAGAGTCTGTCTTGCTTTCAAACTACACAGACGTGCTTTCGATTTATGTGGAGAAGGCGGCTACCAAGAACACGGGCCATGACAAGTATGCTCAATACAGCGTTTTGATGCCCTCCTTTGGCCTGTCGGGCAAAGGTGCTGATGTTGAGCGCAAGCTGGAATTCACTGAAGATTTCGTAGCCTCAAAGGTCTGGGCTGCGTGGATCGATCGCGGCAGGCACGTCCAAGTTGCCGCCGACACGGGCGATCGTGGTTTCAGCACGTGGGTTTCTCGTATGGCAAGGCGCGTTGGAGGAAATTGATATGCAAATGTCCTCTTGCCTTGCCTGTTCATACAAGTTTTTTCCTGGGCTCTGACGGTGCTGCTTTGCTTTTCTTTTCAAGCGAAGTAGAGGCCGGAGTCCTCTGACAGTCGGCTGTAGCAAAGGCCGTTGAAAGAGTCATTCGGAATAGAGGTTGGTCGTGCGAAGAAAACATAACAGCGCTTCGATTATGCTTTGGAACGGTATCAAGTAGTGATAGTTTTAAGATTGCCGGACCAGGCAGAGACTGAAACACATGTTTTGAATTAAATGAGTGAAACATAGTGAAATAGTGTGTGAATCAAAATAGTGAGTGAAATATTTAGTGGATCAACATTGTGAATTGGGAAACATGGATTTGCAGTTTGTGATTTCAATTAGTGAATTGATAATGTGGGTTTCCAGGTTTGTGAATTGAGCAAAGGAGCCAATTGGTCTTTGCATTTGTGATAAGAGGGCCTGCCAGCGGCTTCCCCAACAGGCGGGGCGAGCATTCGCTAATTTATTTCACTAATTTGAATAGCAACAGTTTGCCGGTTTGTGGAAACTGAACCTCTAAAATTCATTAGGTTTCACTATTTCAATTCACTAAATTTCACTATTTTTCGCTAAATCAAATTAATGAAACTTGGCGAAATTTAGTGAACTTTAGTGAAATTTAGCGAAATTTAGCGAAATTTAGCGAAATGTATGAAATTCAATGAAATTTCACTAATTTTTACTAAATTGGACTTGCGAAATTTAGTGAAATTTAGTGAATCTCTTTCTACAATTTCATTGAATTTCATAGATTTCGCTAAGTTTCACTAAATGTCACTAACTTTCACTAATTTTCACTAAATTGGACTTGGTGAAATTTAGTGAAATTTAGTGAAATTTAGTGAAATTTAGTGAAATTTGTGAAATTTTGTGAAATTTAGTGAAATGTAATGCAGGTTAGTGTTTTTTTGCTTTTTCCTTTTGAAAAGACTGCAATCTTGAGCAAACAATTAGTGAACAAAATAGTGAATGGAATTAGTGAAAATTAGTGAATTGGCATGGCGGGCGCTGCGTTGGGCAGACTTGGGGCCAATCGAGTCGAGGGCTTCCCTTTAGCATATAAACATTGTTTCGCTTGGCTTTGCTAAGCCTACGGGCCTAAGCTTTAGCACAACTTACCTGGACCTAGTTCCATGTAGGCGTATGTCCATTCACTATTCCATTCACCATTCCCATTCGCAATTGTTTTAATTCACTATTCCCATTCACTATTTCATTTGCTAATGTTCACTAAATAATTATTTTCATGTTTCCAATCTCTACCTCCCAGCGGCAACCTTAATGATAGTTAAAGTCATTGCAGCAATCCTGAATTGAATTGAAAACTTGATTTAAACACATGAACTTCCCCGAAAGCTGGCGTTGAGAGGCTTTGCTTGTGGTTTGTATCGGTGAGGGGGGGCCAAGGGAAAGTGTGGCAAGATCGTGTGTTTGGCTCAAATAGTAGATAGCATCCATCTTTCGGCATTTCAGCCCCTTACCTTGCATATACAAGGAGAAACTTCAGCTAGCTAAAGCTAGCTTTCGTGATAAGTATCCATAACTCGGCAAACAGGCAACATCCGAATAACGACATATCAGCTGAACGATTGGGTTATCGTTATGATACCTTTTGTAGCTGACCGAAAGCAAGCACTGTTTGCTAGAAGTGCCCCAGGTGCCTTTCACCAGCCTGCTCAATACAAGTCCTTTTCGCAGGTCCCACCCCCAAAAGCCCTGCGTCCGGGCCGGATGTACCGGCAGGTCGAAAACGAATCAAGCTTGGATAGGGAGGGAGTCCAACCCCTGCTGCGCCCCAAACATGTACAAACTACCCCCGTCCAGCCCACTCTTGTGCACACGATCATTGCAAGAATCAATGATTGTAAACGCTCCGCGTTGCCAGCCTCGGCCAGTCCGCTTTTGGCTGGCTTTGAGGTATTTACAGTGTCTTATTTTGTGTTGTATTTGTTAGAGTGGGTGGGTCGGCGCCGAAACGCGTGAGCTGGTTTCCAAGGTAGAGGGTGGGCGCATGTCCGCGCATGTCCACATGGCCTCAAGGGCCAGGACTAGAGCCGCAGAGAGCTACAGAATGGCAGTGGGCTTAGCGAAGACGCACTTCTAAAAAAAGTTGGTTTCTACGGGAAATGTTGCCGATTTCTAAGGGGATTTGACTGGAGTTGGACCCGTTTTTTTCGAGGGGACTTGAGAGGTGTCTAGAGGGGAGCTTGACTGAGTTCAACGGTTTTTGGGGGGATTGGATTGGTTTATGGAGATGGGGGAATTTGACCGGTTTTTAAAGGGATGCCGATTTGTTTGCATGAAAATTGTGATCACACTTGTGTCGGCAGGAATTGGTTGAATGAATGTATTGTTTAGTGTTGGTACGGATACCTATTTATATATAACGTGTTAAACTAGAAGGTTGCACGAGCAATATGTAATGTCCGCAAAAAAGCAAATGTTTATTGCACTAATTGCGTGGACACACCATTGTGATACAGGAGGGTAGGCTTGTGTCTGAGAAAACGCAGGCCACAATTTCACAATATGTGAATATCATTGTATACATATTTACACACCAAGCAAGCATACCTTGAGAGAATAACATTATTTGAACCTGTAGACTTGTTCGAACAATGTAGAAATCATCAACGGAAGTTTAGAAGGACTCCTGCGATACTGATTGAAAGGCAGTCTTGCGCACAGATGAGATTAAGAAAGAATGAAGGGCGAGGCCCGTGTGGCGAGGGAAGAGAAATCGCGAAACAGAGTGCGGGCTGAAAGTTACCTGTCTCGCGACGCCTGACGGACGACGGGGTCAGAACGGGCGCGGAACGGTCTCGAATCCCGGGCCATGGCACGGGCGCGCATGCTTTTCACGACGTCAGCTTTGCGTGGCAGCGCGGCGCTTTGGTGGATTTCGTTGCAGGCGCAGCACTTTCACGAGGGCAAGTACAGATTTCGTTGCACGCGCAGCACTTTAGCAAGGTATCGCGGGGTCAACTGCAGATTTCGTGACAGGCGCAGTGCTTTCGCAAGGTGTAGTACCGATTTCGTGGCAGGTAGACAGATGGATGGATAGATAGTTGGATGGATAGATAGATAGATACATGGAGGTCGATAGGCAGAGGGGGAGAGAGAGAGAGAGAGAGAGAGATCGAGAGATCGAGAGGGAGAGAGAGAGAGGGGAGAGGGAGAGAGAGAGAGAGAGAGAGGGAGATGCATAATAGGTAGATACACAAATATATCAGATAGGTAGATGGGTAGATAGATAGAGATAGTTAGATAGATCGAAAGATAGAAAAATAAATAAGCACAGATAGAGATAGATAAAAGATGGATGGAGAAACAGGTACGCAGGCAGGTAGATACAGAGATAGGTAGATAGATATATCGATAGATTAGATAGAATCAAAGGTGGTGGTGGTGGTGCTAAGGACGGGGATAGCCCCTCCAGGCGTACCTCCCTCCCAGCGACGCTTAGGGAGAGAGGGAGATAGATAGAAAAATTGGTAGGTAGGCAGAAAAGATAGATAGAGAAGATACAAAGATAGATAGATAAGTGCAAAGACGGAGGGGTAGACAAAAATATAGACAAGCGAATAGGTAGGTAGGTAGATAGATGGGTAGAGAGAGATTTAGACAAATAGAGGCAGACAAACGTATAGGTAAAGAGATAGACAAGTGGATAGATAGATACGTCGATGGCAGTAGGTAGATAAGTAGAGATAGTTGGCTAGAGATAGAGATAAAGATCGATAGATAGATGCAGGGATGGAGAGATAGAAATCGATAGCTACATAGATAGACATGGATAGATAGATGGACAGAGATGGGTAGATCTATAGATAAACAGACAGATTAGCAGAGAAATATAGACAGACAGTAGACAGAAAGACAAGTAGGCAGATACATAGGGACGTATCGATAGATAGAAAAAAGCACGCAGGCAAATAGATAAATTGGTGGGCAGGTGGCTAGACAGATAGATAGACAAATCGATTAGACAGATCGCTAGATGAAAGGATAGGTTGATAGATAGATAGATAAATAGATAGAGAGCTAGATAGATAGAGAGACAGAGACAGACAAGTAGATAGGTAGGTAGCTCGAGAGACGAATAGAGATGGTTAGATAGGT